ATTTTAGTAAATACGTATGGTATAGACAATAGTTTAAACCAAAAATTAATAACAATTTTAGTATAGTTATAAGTAGGAATGTACAGTTAACTCGAGAATGAGAACTTATTGGTAACAAATTGTTTTCTTGAGAATTCAATAGATAACAGTCAATATGTTACATAATCATCTTTACGAACTATAACGTGTCAATAACAAGTTTCAGATATTAAATAATGTATATGTTGACAGGGAACAATTCCGTATTTGCTTAACATATGCTATTACTATCCACAAATCACAAGGCCTTAGTTTTGGCAGTCCTCTTCTCAACATAGCCTCCTCTATATTTTATAAAAGGCAGGTTTACGTTGGACTCTTCAGAGTTAAAACCTTAGATGGGGTACGTCTTAACAATTTTGATCCAAGTCACGAGAGCTCTATTGTAGAGTACAACCATCTGTGGACGTTATACCGCCCCGATTTGCCCAAAAATTCCTGATACTGAATTGGCATTGCACTTGAACATTTAAAAGTTACAAGAAAATATAGAAAATAACACAAAAAAAAGACAATTATACCCCGTAAATATACGAAAATACAGTAATTTATCAAAAATAATTTGGTATTAATTTAGTTATAAATAAGTACCTCGTATAATTTATGTACAAAAAGTAATGATATCCCATCAAAAACATAAATGTGAAATGATAGCCGAGTTTAATATTATGATATATGCCTTGATTGTTGACTTCTACGACAAAAGAGATGAGATCTAAATGGGTGCCAAGTTCAATGGTCTGTCCTGAAATGTATTTATAACAATATAAAATATCATTTCTTCTTATAACTTAGGATAATATACTGTAGCCTAAGGTCTAACTTGGCCAGTTCTCATATACCAATTATTACTTTCTATTGCTAGTTACTACTAATATTAAAATAGGAACCGACAAGTAACATGTTTAGAACTTGCGAAGGCTACAGTATATTATCCTAAGTTATAAGAAGAAATGATATTTTATATTGTTATAAATACATTTCAGGACAGACCATTGAACTTGGCACCCATTTAGATCTCATCTCTTTTGTCGTAGAAGTCAACAATCAAGGCATATATCATAATATTAAACTCGGCTATCATTTCACATTTATGTTTTTGATGGGATATATTATACACGACTGTACCTACATACTTTTAAGTAACACCTTCGCACTTAAACAAAAAGCACTGATCATGACTTTTTGTCACGGTCGGTGTTATTTACTTTTTTATATGTAGGTTGAACCTATCTACTTAGAGCAGGGATTCTTAGTAATAATCGACCCCCACGCTTCCACCCTTAATTACCATCGCTTGTGAATTTATCACGAAATCTTGAATTGGCCTGGTGCCGAAACCGTAACGTATATGAGACCAAATCTAGTTGAAAGTATTTCCATTAAAAAATCCATCCTCCATTTGAAAATACATTCGAACTCTGTTTACATTTCACGAAGATATTGATTACCACACCTACATATATCTAAATAAAAGTGCCAAATGACAGTCACAAAAAAAATCTACTATTTTGATAAAAAGATATATCTATCTACTAAAATGATCTAGTTTGAGTACCTGTATGTATACTACTTTATATCTACTGTTACCGGTAAATTATAACTTCTAATTAAGCTGTCGATTATCTTGTTTAAACTTGGCAGTCATATAAAAAATAATATAAAGTTATACATTAATAGACGATAGATATTAAAGTTGTAGTTCGGCAAGCTTTGTAATTGAATTCATTGCAACGTTATAGGAAGTGGTTTCACAATATAATTCATTATACAGTATATTTCATTTTGACAAAGACCAAAACGTAAGATACCTAATAACAATCTTAGTGACGATATACTTCGAATATGTGATGTAGACATGTATATATCTACGTATCTATATAAATGTGTGTGTAATAACTTCTATGTGGATATACATTAAACAAACCTATGTTGATCAAGGCTGAAATATAAAAAGAAAATAATAGCACCTACGGTCTGCCAAAATTGCATAAACAAAAGAAACAAATAAATGCCAGTTTCTATAAATCTATTTCAGAAACGTAAATTAGATACCAACTACATAAGAATATCTGTAGGATTCTAATCACTCTAATATTATTTACACTACTGTTATCTTTGTGTAAATCGATTGAATTTAGAAATTTACGAAGAGACTTATTATTACGAAGCTTCATTTCAATTTGAAACCTACATACCTATAATGTATTTATTATTTATTTACACATATAATCAGCAGGCAGATAATATAATTCTACCTGCATCCCGTGGCTATGCCCACGTGAATTTAGTTTTAGAGTATCTTATGTCATCAAGGCTGAATGGTCCAGTAGTGTAGGTACCAAACAACGTATTTGAAACGTTTAGTCGTTAACGTGTGATTGAATAACAAATATACACACATATTGCGTGTTACAAATATTTAATTTACATTTATACACACTTTATAATACTAGACGAAGTGCACGCTAGAATACCTAAACTAGGTTAAAATTGATTACCTCTGTTGTTGGCACATTTATATTGTAATTTCCTAACATAGTTTATATGTTGTTTACTAATATAATATGAATGGATATCTTAAATAAATGAGTTGAAATTAATTTAGCATAGAATCCCATGTATTAATTAAATTATTGTAAACTTAGTAAAAGTTTAACTTCACGGCGCTGTTGATTGAGATTAAATTAACAAGTATTCTGTGTCACAACACCGCCAACTTGGTTGGATTAAATTTGGTACACATATAGATCATATTCTAGATGCCACAATAGTACCTATAGTTTTACCTCAATTACAGAGAGATGATGCGCGGAGAGATGACAACCAGCAGTGTTTACGTGAAAGAATATCACAGACGTCTATCCTCAAAAAGTTAATTTTTATTAGCAGTAAGAAATAGCAAAGACGGGATTTCTAACTATCGGTATTCTGGATCTACACTCACTACATAGATATCATATGCCGAAAGTGACAGAAAAGTGGTAATTAAGGTTTGTAGTATATAAAGATAGTATTACAGAAGTTACTGTGATGTAATTCTACATTCAACCAAACAGGAACAAATAAATATGTAGGTACATATCGGTAGCTTCCTCACGTCTCACGGCTTTCACCGCTCGTTAAGGTAATTGAGATTGCTATTGTGTCTACAGACAGAATCAGTATATTTCCTTCCTGACAATAATACCACCAGGTACTAAAATCTACTTATAAATGTTACCTCATAGTACATTTTACAAGCTAATTCGTCTCACGTCTGGTAATATATTTGTTTTAATATGTAAAATAACGGTTTTGTTATATTGTGAGTAGGTACTGACAGTTAATATAATATAAAATAAATACCTACGATTTATATCTTATACCAGAATAGTGGCTAACACTAATGTGGCACGTCTGATGGTAGAAGATTATCGTTATCTTACAATTATTAGATATGTATATCGTAATGTTGTGATTCCAAAAATGCATACAGACTGAAAAATTTGGTATTACTAATACACTATCTAACAACACTGAAATCTTGCAATATGTAAGTTTGCAGTAACTAGATACGTATAACTTTAATTATATTATTGTAGATTATATTAGAAACGATGCTATAAAAGACATCAACGTGCAACAAGGATAATGGGATAGCTTCATGAATGGATTTGTTTGTTTGTTTATACTACCTACATTCAGTACAACGTATAGAACACATAATTACATAATAAAAAGTAATTTTATTATAAACGTGTAAGCTTAGATAATGTTTGTAATAATTCTCCAAAGAAATTTGTTGAATTTCCCTATGTAAACAGTAGCGTATGGCAATATGCGAACACTATAAATCTTTTTATTTTATGAAAAACCTTTGTTTGGTACATATTTATCTATATATAGTAAATGTAAATGTTTAGTAAGATTTTCAGACTTTTGTTATACCGTCACGGCGGGATAACTTGTGATAGTAAAAGAGTAAAAAGTAGTGTCATACAATTTATATTGATAATAGATTAAATACCATAATAAATTAATATAATTATGAAACAGAGGAAATAAATGGTGAGCAAGGGGACATAGATTTTCATAAACACATCGATATATTTCATTTAGCAATGGTCCAAAACAAATTTTAAGATTTCAATATTAATCCATTCTGTTTCTCTCATATCATCAGAAGAGTACACAGTTTAGTAAGTTATTAGCGCGAATAAATACCTAATTTATTTTATGTATTAAGTAATGTGTTAGTCGATGATATTTTTACCCAAATTATAAAGTAGACATAGGTATTTTTAAATGCTGAATGTAGTCCCTATTTAATGAATTTACGACATGTTGTGAAAATTATAAAAGTATCAATGGCGATCGCATATAACTGCAAATCCCCGAAAAAAATGAAGAACAAAGAAAAAACTGGTGAACCGGACTAGACTGGTTTTGGTAAGAAGGTTCCTTTCCACATTGAACTTTACTTCTGGGATGCACAAGTGCTATTTTCGACATTCATAAATAAATTTAAACCTACAGCAAAAGAAGGCATGACGCTTAAGTTTTAACACCGTATAAGGAAACGACAAGTTCATTCTTTTGGCAATGACCGCTTGTTTAATCGGAAGACCGTAATACCAGGAATAGTTCGCGATAGCTACACACAAAAATCGACAGCTATATATATACTAAGAACTTACTGTAGGTACCTACTAAATCACATAAATGCAACAACGGCAATTTTTATGCAATAGTCATAACGTAGAAAGCTCTTGTATATGTCTTGTTCATTGTAAGTAGGTGGGTACGTATTTATAACTGAATACACATAAATAAATTAATTTGAATAGAAATATTTTGTACATTATTAAATAAAAATTATTATATTACAATAATTGATTTTGTGTACAAAATATTTTTTGATTTATTATTCGGTAAGGTGTGCTGTGCTGCTCGGAGGGGTAGCCGGTGGATGTCCTCACCTTTCCATATTCGGCAGTTCCAGCCCACTCCCGCCGCCATTGACCTGCTACTTCCATTTCAGTGAGTGGTGTCGGTCGTGCGATCGCTGCAGCTACACTCGGGTTCGCCGGTGTTCGGTCGCCGTCGCGCGCGGTCACGTCAATACAGTGTGCCGGCTCGAAGCTTACTAATGCGCGAGCGCAACTCACCCCACCCACTTGTCTTTTAGGCCACAAAACAAATTTGAATATCGTTATTGCCTTCCGTTGGCAAAAAACTATACTTGATGTCAACGCCCACTCTCGATTTTAAGGTACCTATTACTTATCCTGCCACCCAGACGCATGTGTTCGCGGCCCACGCTATACGTGACGATTGCATCAAGAACCAAATGGTGATTAGTTTAGCTTAGTGCAATATGCTACCTACTGAAAACATTCAGGGTTATAGTGTATAAACAAATAATCAATGTATTTATTAAAGGTTGCTCATTTCTAGAATGAATTGCCCAATTGTTTGTATATTCACTCCACACCCTTGTTTACCTTATTATTAACACAATATGAATTGATATTTTAAAATAAAAATAAAATCTTCAAGCTTACACTTGGTTGGTTAAATTTTCAATTATTTAATATATGGATATGCAATTATTTTTATTTGGTAATAAAGAATAATTGCATAGATCAGATAAAAACAATTATATCATTTTATTATTTAAAATTTATTTGGTAATTTGATACATAACATTAAACAATAATTGAATACTACTAATACTATACATCACCTATATTAAGAAAACAAATTAGCAATGAATATATGCACATTTAATAAAAAATTAAGTTTGTGATAGTCAAACTGATTTTTATGATCAAAATATTCTTACATACAATTTTAATTCATTTAATATCAGCAGTTAATTATAATAGCCTGTTTTTTATTGTAATTAAACATAGTAAATTCTTATCAAAATGAGAAATCTTAATAGAAATTGATTGCAATTGAACTGTCATAAAGTGCCATGTATTTTAAATTGCATTTTATATAATAGTATTTTTGATATGAAAATATTAGTACTAATAAATCTAATAATGTCAATAAGACCTTTTTAGATGATCTATATATATATCTAAAATGTATGTGTTACACTTCCTTAGTTCCATAATTTCTAGTACAGGATGACTCTTGTCTTTGCTTCTTATATTTCTACATCTTTGAAATACCGCTACAAAAACTTCTTTCTTTTGATTGCAAAGACAGAAATTATAGAACAACTTTTCTTCATAGCTGAATTTTTCATTTATACCATCTTTAAAATATCTATAAAACAATTGTTGGTCATTGTTGCATAATTTTTCAACATGAAGCCATTCTTCAGCAGATAAACCAAACAATAAACCAACGGTTGGTCCTCTCACAATGCACACCACTTGACCTGATACATCGCCAATTTTCAATGTCGCAACTGTCGATGCTATTCCATTTTTGGAACAATTGATTTTAACCGACTCTAAATAATAATCCGATAGTAATCCCCAACTTTTTAGATGCAGGTTTAGTTTTCCGCTTTCAGTTAATTTTATAGGCTTTATAGTTTTGAAAAAATCACTATAAATTACTCTCAAGGTTTTCATAACATTATATTTGCAGTCATAAATAAATGTAGGGCGAAATATGTTCTTCATAAAATTAGGTACAAATTCTTGTAAATTCAAGAAATTTTATACTCACAAATTCACTAATATTTTCAGAAACTGTAGTAGCCTAACAAATTGATAACTGAGTCTTGTAGGTAATTTATATTACAGAATTGTATATTTACAAATATAATATTTATATTGTATATTTACTCCAAATAATATAATAATTCTCGCGCCTAAGTAGAATTCTGTTAGTTGTCTTGTTGACATTGACAAGTAACAACTTGTCACTTATTAACAATAAATTCACATTGTCAAGTAAAAAATGGCGAGTAGAGTCTATCGATCAGTGACAACAAGCAAAATCGTTATATAAAATGTCAGTTAATAATAATAAATAAACACAGTTTCACAATAGAATTTCACAATTTTTTAGTTTTCTTTCCGTTCGCATCACCAGCTTGTATTGTCGTTGTTTGTTGACAAAAACAGTATCTGAAAATAATTTAGTAATCGATTTTTTAGGGAATAATAATATATGTAAGTTGAAAAAGTTTTCGTGACAAAAGATTCTATCTTGTACTGTTAGTCAATCAATCTATGTCAGTAAATCATATAGTGACATTGACAGTTGGTTAGGATCAATCAGTATATGATTTACTGACGCGGCATATAGATTGATTGACTGACAGTACAAAATATAATCTATTGTTATATTGTTGTATAATTGTAATTTTATTTTTTATTTTTTACGAATGCAACTTAATTTCTATTTATATAACTATTACCTGATTATGTAAATAGAATATATTTCAATATTTGTTCGTTTCTATTTTATATAAATAGGAATAATGCAATGAGGATCGGCTGGATTCATAGACTTGTTAATAGATGGCCTGGAAAAAAAACATTCGGTATATATAGATTTCTTCCAATGTTCTTTGTATTGGGAGCTGCTTTAGAATTTTCTATGATTAATTGGAAAGTTGGAGAAGTAAATTTTTATAACACGTTTAAGAAACGTCAAGCTCACGATATTGTAGAAGATAAGATCAAAAAGTACGCAGCCTCTTAAGATGCCAGCGGGAGTCACCTGGGGACAGTATATTTCATTTTCAGTAGCAGCGATGGTGTCAATGCTTATGGGTTCACAAGTTGTACATTTATATTATAAACCACTACAGGATTTAAATAAGTACATTGACAAGGAACTGAAGAACTTTCCAGATAATATACAGATAAAAATTAAGGAGGAATTGAAGGAGGAAGGTGTTTTAAAATAGTTCTTTTCATATTTATTTACTGTTGATCATAGTAGAAATCAAGTTTAATAAATATGCAATTAGCCTAATTCATTTGTCTTTATTTATTTTAATTCTCCAGCACAGTAAGAGTCCCGGCAGTGATGCAACATGGAACAAATAAGTTTGTGCAAGTCTGAAAACATGAAATCAACAACAAATAATTAAAAATACAATACAACATTGTAATAAAATTTATTTCATAATTTGGTAGCATTCTTAAACTTATTATTATTTACAAATATATTTATCCAATTACATTGTACATTCAGTTTACAATAAATTATCTTATGTCTAAACTAATGTGTTGTAAGCTTATATTTAGTCTGTGAAATTTGTGAAAGATGTTATTATTCCAATGACTGAATGATTGAATAAATAAATAATCAGAACATTAATTAACATTTATAGAAAAATAACTAGGCATATGACAAGCATAAAGAAGTATATATTGTACATATACTTAATCATTCGTGTATCTGTATGTTGTATATTCATACTTTTTAATTTAGGTTTTTTTAGCTATGTAAATACAGTAATATTGTTTCCCTAACATTTAACTTGAACACTTAGTATTTTGTTGACAAGACTAAGCAATTGTGTGAACTTAATTTCTGGCTCATGTTATATAAAGTTAGTAGAAATAGCCAGCAACTGTCTAAAGAACTAACTATGTTGATAAAAACCAAACAATAAAGTCTGTTACACAATATCATAGTTGATTTACTTTTTGATGTGGCTGAAAAAACTAATTATATTTTATGATCATCCCCACATCTTGTTATTTTAACAAATTATTAATAGCAGTATAATAAAATTTTATTAAATAAGTACATTATTTGCATCAATAACAAATTTTTATCATGTACAACTGTTACACGATCGAAATAATGGTGTCTATCCATTGCAGTCTTTGTTGAAATTCAAGTGACTTGAAAATTCAGTCACCTTGCGGAGTTAGAAATTGTTCGTCGAATCCAGTCAACATGCGAGGCGACGGCGTCATAGATGCGGGGTCTTCCGAGTCCTATTTTCGAACATGCTATCCGCCAACCACTAACACCTGTCAATGACCATCGTTTGTTTTTCTGATCGAAGCACATCATTGAACTGCCTGCATATTCTTCTTCCTGCATAAGAAATTAAGGACATATTTATTAAGTAATTGTAATTTACATAGTTATGTAATATTATGATTATAATTATTATTAAACCAATCATTGTAGGAGATCACAACACACCTGCCACCTACAGTTAAAATATATGATTTGTTTAAGAAGATTTGGTATTAGACTTATTTAATACTTACATCACAGTCATCTTCGTCATATAGAGGCTCAGCACAGATACCATTGACGGTAGCTATACTAACATTTTCACACGTGTTCATAGGACTAGAAACAACATGTACTCTTTGTAATTGGTCTCGGTTCCTCGTCCAACCAAGCGTATTACATACACTACTGTTACTGCTACTGGAGTCATCTTCCGGCAGACACAGTGGTCGTACGAAATCGGTCATTTCAACGGACTCTTCAAGTCGAAGCAACGCTAACATACTTCCTTCTACAGGCGACCGTACCATGCCCACAATACGTTGCTCTTGTTGCCATGGTGTAGTGCTCTGTATTCTCACAGTTCCTAGTCTAGCCGTCCATTCAGCTTTGGGCTGACCCTATAAATATAAAAATCAGATATAAGTAGGAAAAAATATCATAAGTATATCAACTGACTATGTTCCTACTGTTCGGAAGAAATCTCATAAGATGGTTCAGGCTATAGTTACCACACTGGCCTGGAGGCTTGATATAACGTTTTGTTGTCTACAAACTTAAAAAAAGATGGAGCTTTTGTGCTACTGCTCCTTTTTCCACTGTATTTTGTATGTGCTGGCGCTTCTCTTGATTTTTTATGAATTGATATGGGACCATATAATTTAAAACAAGATCTGATCAGTAGTTTTTCATTTTTTATTCTCTTGCACCATGTCTTTTCTTTTAGTTACGTCTAGCGATATTCTTGAGTTGAAAATAAATAAAAATGTTGAAAAATAATAAGAAAATGGGAAAAATAATGAGAGATCGAATTAGCTAAATTTGGCAATACCCTACCTACTTTAAACGAACACTTACTTGAAAACAAGACGCAGTAGTAATAAGCCACGACGGATGAATAAGTGTAGCGTCACACGCATGAATGTGAGATCTTAATAGAGCCGCATGCCACGGCCAGTCGCCGGGCAGTGCTGACCGAGACAGACCTTCCACGCCCTTCCTAGCACGATCACCTCGCGCTGATGCAATTCCACAATCTACCAAAAATATATGTAGATAATACAAATATAATCGACACACCGGTGGTAAAGTTGTATCTTAAATTTGCATATGATGACTTGTCACCATACGAGGAATCTGATAAATGTTTCATAATAAGTATCATATAGTTTGTCTGTCTGGTTCGTCGTATTAGATATTTAACGTAAAAATAATATACAAAATATAAACAATTATAGTAGACTAGAAAGAGGACACAGGTTACCTAATACGCTACATGTACCTTACACACTTGAAGTCATCATAACACCTTAAACGTGTTCAATTGGAACAAATTAATATACCTACCGTCTTACGTTCCAGATATTTTTACCACCTGTCATCATTTTTTTTTCTTTAGTAAATTATATACAGAATAGTAATAATATTACGAGGACAATATCTTACCTAACTGATCACAAGTTACTCGAATGACTTTACGCTGTGGGCATTCGCTTTTGACGAACGATATTTCAGGTGCGAAGGGATCTACTACTTCAACATACTCCGGCGTCTCCTTTTTATTCACAATATTTTCAGTCGTGGTCTCGTTTTCAATTTCTTCTTCACTATCAAGTACGGCCTCTGCGCTTGATGCTGCCCTATAATAAGCAGAATGATATATAGCGTATTACTATACGTATACCTACTTATTTATATCTAAGTAGGTTCCACAATCGCGAAACTAACAGTAAAAATTGAATACGCAAATGAATGAATAAAAAAATTAATCTAAATAAAAAAAAATTGCTAAACTACGCTATAAAAATTTTGTGAAAACACATTTTACTGTTTTATCTTACTTTGTCGTCCATACAATATTTTTTTTACATACCTAGTATAGTTAATTGATAAGTATCATAATAATGATTATACTTATCAATTAACTGTAATGAATGAAGGCCTCAAACAAATTATGCTTTGACGTTTTCTTACCTAAATGTTAGCGCCCTACAGAGTGATGTGGCGACGCTGGCGAGGGCTCGCTTGTCGTTCTCGTAGGGGGCGGCGCATATTTTTCCGTCACGACCACGTTCGGCCCAAACCGCATAACCAGCACGGCTGCGGACCGCACCTAATGTAGTTTCTGCATTTTCTCGTCTCCATGATGCTAATGAGCGAGAAATCCACACTAAAAATAGATAATTTAATCAATATATAATTCATGATTGTTATCTCAGATAGGGTAATCAGAGGCACTGTCAACTGCGGATGTTGTAATGAACGCAACACTTAACATAATCGTAATTCGTCAACTATTACGTAGAGTGTATTTAAATCCGAAGTGGCAAGTTTTGAGCCTAGCCCCATAAATCTCAAGTCTAGACTGTTAAGCTAGATAAAATGTATGGTAATACATATTTAGAGCGATGTCGTTATCATATTTCGTGCCAGAACCTGATATGCTTAGGATCTGGAACCGTCTGCATCGCCCTGACATCTTCCCTAACATGTTAAGGTAACAAATGGCGATAAAATTGCTGAATTGTAGACTTGCGATCACCTTATTAACCTCTGACGCATAGAGAATAGGGTCGGACCTCATTAAAACTCATCTTTCTAGTAATTAGACATTTCCGGCCAGATATCTAAAATAGAATGGACCCGAAACACAATACTTAAGCAAGTTATTTTGTGGCAGAAACAGGTAATTAAGATACAAGCACCGAAGCAGATTTTTACTTTTATGGTACCCGGGGAGGAGAGGAATATTAATCATTTAATTAATGCCATTTCCATATCATGTTGATATTTACACGGTACTCACGACATTTTATTATTTTCAAATGAGCTTGTACATGTTTACGGAATATAGTATCTATGTATCAGTTGGCTAGTCCCCATAACTCAAGCTCCGCTTACTTTAGGTCTAGCTGGCGATGTGTGTATTATTCTGACATATACTCGTAATTAGTAACTGATATACATTTTTTTATGCGTGTGGTGTCGCTGTAAGAATAGCACCACCCCCTCTCTTCCCGTGGGTGTCGTAAAAGGCGACTAAGGGATTCATCGACCAGTGGACGGGCAGCAGAGTCCTACTGAGTAGCTACCATCATACTGCGATCGCCAACCCGCATGCCAAGCGTGGCGATTATGGCAATATCCCCCCAAATGGATTTACACCCAAGGCTCCGGCCCCCAGTCCCCGGCGGCCCCGCTAGTCTTGACTATGGTAGCGGTCATGGAAACGGCCGGGCAGGGGGTGCGAAGAATCTCCGGGTAAGACCAGGCTACCACACACGACGACTACTGGCCCTGGCAACGTACAACGTTCAAACACTGCGGACCGACGAAAAGTTAACTGAACTGGAGGAAGAGTTGAGCAGATTGCACTGGCATGTCGTGGGATTATCTGAAGTCCGAAGAAAGGGGGAGGACTCGATAGTCCTGAAATCCGGCAATCTGCTTTACTTCCGGGAGGGCGATCAACTGTCCCAAGGCGGTGTCGGGTTCCTCGTCCACAAGTCCCTTGTGAATAATGTTATCAAGGTCGAGAGCGTGTCGACTAGGGTAGCGTACCTCATACAGAATTACCAAACGGTATTCGTTGAAGGTCATCCAAGTGTACGCTCCAACTTCGACGCACTCCGACGATGAGGTTGAGGCTATGTATGAGGATATCTCCAGAGCCATACATAGTACAAAGACTCATTATAACGTTATCATGGGGGACTTTAACGCAAAATTGGGCAAACGAAGCGGTGATGAGCTGAGAGTGGGGCAATTTGTTATCGGTGATCGGAATTTCCGAGGTCAAATGCTGGCCGACTTCATGGAGAAGGAGAGCCTCTTTATGATGAACTCCTTCTTCAGGAAGCCGGAACACCGGAAATGGACGTGGATTAGTCCCGATGGTGCCACAAAAAACGAGATAGATTTCATCTTGTCAACGAGAAGACAGATTTTCAATGATGTCTCTGTGATCAATGCCGTCAAAATTGGAAGTGATCACCGGATTGTAAGAGGCACATTGAATCTGAATCTGAATCTGAAATGAAATGAAATCTACGCTCCGCCCTACACCTATACAGATCCAAAACCCCGAAAGCTTTCAGCTAGATTTGCAAAACCGTTTCGAATGCCTTGGTGACTGCGTTGACGTGGACGATTACAACAACAGGTTCGTAGAAACTGTCCGTGCGGCTGGGTCTAAGCACTTCAAAACCCGCCGCGCAGAAAGAACCGGAAAAATATCTATCTATCCTCAAACTGATGGATGAAAGGCGAAGTATGGTCCTGCAGTCTCCGACTGACGCTTCCCCGTATCGGCAACTTAGCAGGCAGATCTCTAAGTCCTTGTCTCGTGACTTACGCCACTTTAACACAAATTGTGTAAAGGAGGCTATTGAGAGAAACAAGGGGGACTCAAAAGTCTTCAACAGGGATCTGGCTGCCGGACAGAGCCAGCTGACGCGACTTAAGACAGGCAGGATCGTATCGTCTAAACCCGAACTTTTAAGGGAAATTGAGAAGTTCTACAGTTACATACGACAACACGGGCACCTGTTAACAACACGGCGAAAGACTCTAAAGCCAAATTAACCCGACACTATACCGAAGATATCCCGGACGTCAGCCTGTACGAGATTGGTATGGCTCTTAAACAACTTAAAAACAACAAGGCGCCGGGCGATGATGGAGTTACTGCTGAGCTTCTGAGGTAGACCTGTTTTACGAATCCTCCAGAAGCTATTCAACTCCGTCATCCTCGAGGGCAGAACGCCTCAAGCATGGCAAAGGGGTGTGGTGGTTCTGTTCTTCAAGAAGGGAGACAAATCGCTTCTGAAGAATTTCAGACCCGTGACACTGCTGAGCCATGTTTATAAGTTGTTTTCGAGAGTCATCACAAATCGTCTCGCGCGCAGGTTTGACGACTTCCAGCCTCCCGAACAAGCCGGGTTCCGATAAGGCTTCAGTACCATAGACCACATTCATACGCTGCGGCAGGTAATTCAGAAGACCGAAGAATACAACCTGCCACTTTGCTTGGCGTTTGTGGACTATGAAAAAGCCTTTGATTCGATCGAGACGTAGGCAGTGCTACAGTCTCTCCAGCGGTGCCAAATTGACTATCGATATATCGAAGCGTTGAAATGTTTGTATGAAAACGCCACTATGTCAGTTCGCCTCCACGACCAGAATTCGAAGCCTATCCAACTGCAGCGAGGTGTCAGACAAGGCGATGTCATATCGCCAAAGCTGTTTACCGCTGCGTTGGAAGATGTCTTCAAGCTTCTGGACTGGAGCGGGCTGGGCATCAACATTAACGGCGAGTACATCAATCACCTTCGATTTGCCGACGATATCGTGGTCATGGCTGAGACCTTGGAAGACCTTAGCAAAATGCTCAAAGACCTCAGTAGAGTCTCACAAGGAGTAGGTCTTAAAATGAACATGGATAAGACGAAAATTATGTCAAACGTCCATGTCGTACCTGCTCCCGTAAAAATCGGAGATTCTACACTCGAAATTGTCGATCACTACGTATACTTAGGGCAAACTATCCAGCTAGGTAGATCCAATTTCGAGAAAGAGGTCAATCGTCGAATCCAACTCGGATGAGCAGCGTTCGGGAAACTCCAATATATCTTTTCGTCCAAATTTCCGCAGTGTCTCAAGACGAAGGTTTACGACCAATGTGTGTTGCCAGTGATGACTTACGGAACAGAGACGTGGTCGCTAACTCTGGGCCCCATCAACAAGCTCAGAGTCACTCAGAGGGCAATGGAGAGCTATGCTTGGAGTTACTCTGCGTGATCGAATCAGAAATGAGGAGATCCGCAGAAAAACCAGAGTGACCGACATAGCCCGAAGAATTGCGACTCTGAAGTGGCAATGGGCAGGACACATAGCTCGCAGGACAGATGGCCGTTGGGGCAGTAAAGTCCTCGAGTGGCGACCACGGACCGGAAGACGCAGCGTGGGAAGGCCTCCAGCAAGGTGGACCGACGATCTGGTCAAGATCGCTGAAAGGCATTGGATGCGAGCAGCGCAGGACCGATCGTCGTGGAGATCTTTGGGGGAGGCCTATGTCCAGTAGTGGACGTCTTTCGGGCTGCGATGATGATACATTTTTTTATAACACAGGGGACAAACGAGCATGCGGCTCACCTGATGGTAAGTGATTACCGCCGCCCATGAGCACCCGCAACACCAGGGGAATTGCATATGCTGCGATAACTTACAACATCCAGTTTCGTCGCTGCCGTCGGGACAGTCCGGGGTGCCGTCACATCTGAGGTGTGCGGGCAGGCAGCGGGCGTGTAGTGCGCACCGCAGGCCGCCACCACCGCCCCCGCAGTGCGAACAGCCGCGCTCGTCCTCCGCGCCCGCGCAGTCCGGCACGCCGTCACATGCTCGACGCGATAATGCCAAACGCTGAAGACCTCCGCTACAATCTGTTGTTAATATGCGCAATATAATGATGTTTACTGTTACATACAATAAGTATATTTAATATAAAAGGTATGATCGCTCAAACATATTAACGATCCTCGGCGGTTGCAATCTAATTGTAAATATACCCTAATAGTGATGTTTACTGTTACATGAAATAAGTATTTTTTAATATAAGAGAAGTTAACGACTTAAACATATTATTGTAATACTGTTAACCAGGGGCGGTTTCGAACTGGCCCAATATTTGAGGTTTTTCTTTTATTAAAACTAAGATATATCCTAAAGTGTTCGTATGTAAAAGTATGTGAGGGATTTTGTTCAAAATGAAATATTTATAATAAATAACGTATTTATTTGGATAAGGATTAATATCATGTTTATAAAAACACCTTCGCAAATAATGCGTTCACATAAAAGGTTACTATTAAAAAGGTTATATATTTCTTTTACAGTATGCAATATTATCTTATCTATGGTTATAGTGAGTTAACCTTAAAATAGACAGACATATATAGTTACGGACTTCTTATTAGAACTTTTAGAGAAAAACAATTCCGTTGTACATATTTTTTAGGTAACTTTAACCGTAAACACTCGAATTCACGCAGCGAAAGCATTCCATTTGTTTTTTACTACATTTTTTATGCTGCCTAGCCCCTATTCGTCGTAGCGTGATGTATATAGCCTATAACATAATATACCTTTCTAACAGTAAAATAATATTTAAAATGGATACAGCAGAATTGTTAGGAGATTACCTACTCCTAACAATTAAACATACAAACTTTAGCTCTTCATAATATTAGTATAGGCAGTATAGATAATACTGAGTAAAGGCTACGAGAAAACCGATATAAAACTTGTTATTAGAGACATCAAATTTCGTTTACATAAAGTTAATGTCTTTGATGGGTTTTCGTTTCTATGGGAATGGACATTATATCTATAATTTACTCTACATTATATCTATACTATGACAACTATAGTATGGTACCGTTAATAAGTTCACAAATTTTATTTAGATATAAACTTATTGAATAAAACCTATTAGCTACATCAATTAGTAGTAATTAGAAGTTATTAAGAATTACCTGGTTCTGGTGCACAGGAGCCGGGTCCAAAATAATTAGGAAACCGCGTGCAATCGAAATGTGGACGTAGTCTGTCAGGCAAGCGGGCGCCGCAGCCCGCGTGGAAAGCTCGGCAATAAGCGCGACACGGCCGCACCAGGCGATCATCAACGCATCGCGGTTGTAACATTTGACAAACGAAATCCTGTACATGGGAAATACAGACGTATGAGAAAATATATAAAACATATACTACTTACGTAGATCGCTAATCATAATAGATATTTTTATTTATTTATATATATGTATATGTATCTATGTAGGTGTGTGTATGTAAGAATTATTATGTAGTTGTACATAATATGTAATTTATATTTATTTAATAATACTTATAGTAATTAATAACTGTTATGCCTCGAACAGATTCTGTCATCACTTCTCTCCAACCTAAGGTTACCTGGAAGAAATCGCTATTTAGCGATTCCGCCCATTATTTTTTTTATTTTTTAATTTATGTAAGTAACTGTTTTTTTCTGTGAGAGGAACAATAAAGAGTTTTTTAAATTTAATTTAATTTCATAAGTGCTTAATTCAATCTAAACGGCGCTATATTTGCGTAGGCGACTGTGCATATATGCATATCAGCACAGTCGCCTACGAAACTATAGCGCCGTTTTCTAGTTTCTCAGGTATTAATTTAAGAATTACTATCACATTTTATGAGTTGTCTATGTTGCGTAGGCGACTGTGCATATATGTTATATCAGCACATCGTCGCCTACGCAACTATGCCTATAAGCCGATTTTAATCAGGTGTGCGTTTTAGCTTACAGATATATAAAATACTCAGGCTATTAATTTAACCAGAATATATAAATTACTAAATAGCAACATTTTATTTAATTACTATCACATTTTATGAGTTGTCTATGTTGCATGGTGTATTGCAAATAGTAGTAGTAGTGGATGAGTAGTAATTTGTTATACTATACCTATATTAATTATCTATTGAGATTGCTTTTATAACCAATTATTTATATGATCACGTGATGTTAATAGCGCTGTTACCTATCAACGGTCCATTAAGATGGGCCGTCCGCTTGTTTACCATTATAGTGCTATAAAAATCTTTGGTAATTCGTGAATCAAGTCATGACGTAACCTATGAATATGAAAATATAATTATATATCTCATACAGGAACTTGTAATATGTCTAATAGATCTCTAGACGTATGCATTATTACTTTCTAAATAAAAAAAACGGTCGGCTCTACCTACACCGATAACAGGTTTGTACATAAACATATTTTTTATTTCGTCTATTCGATTTGAATTCGAGGTTACCTGCGCTAGATGTGAGCATTCCGCATCAAGGAGTTCTCTGAAGGCGACCAGATCCCTCAATAGTGCCTCTTTGTTTGCGTGTCCCACAAGATTTGGATAAGAAGTCAAATTATATGGCAGATAGGAACACAATGGCAAACTGACTGCCAAACATTCGCGTAATTCCTCCTGTACTTCTGCCACTGTCTCTTCCGTTGTTGTAACATCCACTATAGTTATTTCACTTTCTTTTAGCTCTAGAGACGATATTGCCGAGTTTTCCTAAAAAAATAGATTTAGTATTGAAATAGGTATGTGTCAAATATTTTCTTGAACTAAATGTAAAGTATATAAAAAAATGCATCAAAATTAATTCATTTATAGTAGTAGATACCTACTCATACTAGCGTTTTCCTCGATTTTACGAGAGTTAATTAATATGTTAAATGAATAGAATGAGTTAACACGATTATGTATGCGAATTGTCATTCAAATCCATTTAACAATACATATCTACACAAATACGAAAGAAGAAATATTTCTAAGTTCTTTTAATCCAAGGCAAACACCTGTTTGAAAATATTTAGTATAATTAATTTATTATTTTCTTTAATTAAAAATAGACTTCATAAACAGACTAAATCAACCAATAATATTGATAATCTTGAAGCAAGACGTTACCGATACCTCATCTTAATACATTGCTGATATACCTATATCTTGGATGAAAAAAATAATCACCTTCAAATTTGAGTGAATATTCACACGTATTTACATTAAGATTTATATTTCTAGGCCTATTGCGTCTTTATTTTCTGTTTGAGGAGCGTATTCTCACGTCTAATTAATAATACTAAATATGTATACAATTACGAATGTAATAAAAGTAATTGGGCAGGTATATATTAACTAATATAATTAGATGAAATATTTAAGTATAACAAAATGCATTTGGATACCAACCTATTGTGAAAATATTTCATAAAAAATAAGTATTCTGTGAAATATTTATATTACGACATACGAACAATCTAAATAACAAACTGTTGTTCTGTTCGTGATTCAAGTTACTATATTTAGTTGTATTTAGTTAGTGTAATCGTGTTACTAAACCGCAATTTTTGAAATCGCATTGACTATATCAGAGATATTGCTAAAATAACCACAATAGGTATTAAGCCGAAAATGGAAAATTAAAATTGAATTTCAAATTCTAATCTACCTGACATTATAGTCAGGTGATTTCAATTCAACAAGTTCCGCAATATTTGCCTTTACTTTCGAGTAACACAATCTCTGCTAATTAATTAACTGCACATTGCCTTGTATAAATAGATATAGATATCAGATAACTGTACTTATCCGTCAAGTTTCTCTAATTGGCAGTGAATTTTAGTTGCCTACATGCTATTATGCTATCATGCTATTATGCCTGCATATAAAATTATTATTATGAAAGTATATAAAATATGAACAAGATAGATAATCTATTTTATTTATATAATACTTTTCGCTAACAAAAAAAATTATAAGCCTGTGGTAACAAGTATTTTTACTAGGCTTTCGTATTTATATGCAAGTTGCTAATTTCGTTTCCCCTTATAGTTTGTAAGTAAAATATATTGTCATATTAAAGACGAAATTTATTGTACTATGTAATTTTATGTTATCTGTGTATTATTCTTTATTTAACTATACTAAATACACTAGATACAATAAGAAATAGAAAAAATTAAATCTATAAAGAGATACAAGTATTTACATAATGTATTCGTTTCTATACCTCAATGTGTAGGGTGTCTGGCATCACAGTGACATTTAAATGACCAGCAGGAGCGTTGATCTCTCGAGCAAGCACCGCCTTCACCTCGCTTGTGCTTACTGCTGTAAAGATCGGCTCGAAAGACACTTCAAAGTGCACTCGCATTCCGTCCTCAGTACTGTAACGGAAACAATAAAAATAAACCATTAGTAACACATCACTGTAGCATTTAGTGTACAATTGCAATTGCAACACCTTAAATGAACGAGATGAAGTTATTGTTAGTAATGGGAGCTTATTTACCAATGTTAACAATGAAGCCTAACACTAGGCAGTTCTCCCTGGAAACAATCGTGTGGTCTAACTGACCTGATGTCATGCTCATCCCATCATCTTATAGTAGAGTATACATATAAATATAGTATAATCAGGCAAGGTAGACAAACAATAAATAAACTTTGCTACAACGCAACAAATAATAGATACCTACCTTTTTTTAAGTAACAACTTGCAATAAATAATTGTAATATAGAAATTACTGTAGCTTTCAACAAAAAGTAGGACAAAATATTCGTAAATACAAATTAAGAGTATGATTTCATTTCTGTCAATTTAAAGCCTCAGGTTGGTTGGTGTTTTTTGAAATTAGAAAGGTCACAGTTGAAACTGACGGCACAACAACAAAAGTTGAGTTATTAATAATTTTAGCCCCGTTAATGCATGGATAAGAAATAAGTAGGGATTTATTATCATTCGATTATTAACTGTTGTTTTAGAAGTAATGTATATTAGTATAAAGAGGTAAAATTTGATAGTTTGTGAGTTTGTCGGATCTATGAATCTACTGAACTGATTTTGAAAATTCTTTTAGGTAGCCTTTTTATTATGCAATCTGTAGGTAGGTATATATAAAATCACACTACGACCGCGAGTGTATAGGAGGCAAGTTAGCAATAATATGGGAGCGGAGGTGCTATGAAATTTATAGCCAAAAACGATGTAAAAGTGAGGAAACAAAATTGCGCAGATTAGCTAGCAAACAATAATTATAAACCACTACAGTAATCTAAAAATAATATCTATCATCATCTATAATAATATAATATTGCGGTCACAAAAAATAGTACTTTTTTTTATTGATTAAATAAACTTATTATTTTTTACAATAAACATTTAGATACACATCTTAAAAAGTACCTATAGTATGAAATGTAAACAGGATACATCCGACACTAAGTAGGTAGAAGAAATTTCTCACAACAAATTATGCATTTAGGTTTCCTATTTAAATTCATCGCTCATGAATGGAGAGGTTCGGAACATGGCCGGAACCTTCCGACAACTGCATGTACCTACAATTGACGCATCGGCCATAGAAAGTTCAGATATTAACTTACAAACAGAGCACGTATTGTAACTTTCTCATGTCGGTATCACACAGGAATCAATACATGGTTATAATAACTTCGTGTTACAGGGCTTAATGTCGAACTATTTCATTGTTGATATTGTTCTCAATAACACAATATGTGATATAAGATTATCGATTAGGTATTAAATCTAAATTTAAATAGAATTAACGGATTCAAATAAAATCGTATATATTTTAAAACTTTTAAAATAAGCAGACGGACGAGTACGAAATTTTGTACACAATTTTTACATAATTATTTTTATAATAATACCTAGAAATACACTATATTAATATATGTATAAACATGTATAAAAGTACGCATAACAAACACACGTATAAGTCTTTGAGAATAAAAACTTTATTCCAAATAAAACAAAAAATTATGGCCGAATCTCAATTAATGGACGACTATAAAATTATATGAAATAGTGAATGGTCTACTTCATACATAAATCATTAAAGTTAATACTATCTTTTTACTAATTGAATCTCTATGTAATTCGATAAAGTGCTGCATGTAACATGCATATGATTAGTCTAATAGTTAGTTACGAATTCTATTCAGCTTTAGAGTATTTTCACGTAATGACGGATTTCATGATCGACAAATAGGCGCGGTATGCTATGTGCAGGTTTCTACTAAAAAGAATGTTGAAAGTCATTCTAAAATCCAATAAATCTGTATGATTGAATTATGCGACCGTTTCTGAACTAACTACTTTGTGGCTTTTAATAGGTACTTAGTTAGTATTAGAAATTGTAAAGTAATCGTTTGTTTCTTGCTGCGTCATTCTAAAAATACTCATATAGATTTTATAAACAATTCAGTGAGTTCCAAGGGCATACTTTTTTTTTATTACCCACAGCCTAGAACTCTGGAAGTATGACGACGTAAAATAATTGTCTCCTAGCGTATAATTTAAATGGAAAGGGGATAATTTAAAATATAAATTACGAGAGAGCGTCGTGTAGTAGTCTAGTGGTTTACAGGCTGAGACCAGAAAATAATATACTGTCTCTCCGATGAAGTAAACACCGATAACAAAAACAGACATTATTTCGAGGGCTAGTCCCGTGGCTAGTACCACGTTAGATGATAATATACTCAGCGAAATGTAGGCATGTTAAACATTGCGTTTACCATGACGTCGATAATTGACAATGCCCCGTCCGGGATGACAGTCGTGACGGCAGGTATGTTAGGTTGTGTGTTGTCTAAATTACGAGTGACACCCGTTGAAATCTTTTGTTTCATCCACACAACTCGTGAATTCTAAGCAAGTAGAAAGGTTTTTAATATTTATGGAATGTCTAGGTTGTATTTTGTTATTGGTATATAAAGGCTTCGCAAATATCGTAAGAAGTATTTGGGTCCATGTGTAACTTTAAATAATTATGCAAAACTACTTTTTCTCATTTTACTTTAATTCAATATAAATTCTAGTAGGTACATATGTTGCAGTGATTAATTATGCAAAATTATCGTACTTTGATTAATTCTAATAACATTTATGGGGTAAGCAGAATTGAATAGGAGAAACCTTCGTCTTTGCACATACACGTGTTATATTTCCAACTCGTTGAAATAAGCCTATCTTTTATCTAAAAAAGCATATAGAATCAGTGATGAAGAGAAGCAATTATATAATAACAACTTTCTGTATTAGTGGCACACTCATAAGTGTGACGGATATGTTAATATAAATAATATATATATTCGGTATTATATAATGTTATAGTTTATTTCTGTTGAATTTACTAATTCTATTTAATATGTTTATTAGGTTGTGCCTACATAATAAATTATAATAATAATAAATAATATTAGTATTATTTATTATGTAGGCATGTATTATGTATCATGTACCTATGTCGGAAAGTAATCGGGTCCGAAATAAAAAATTTGTTACATAATTATTCAATTTAAATTATATAATATAATTGATAGTAAAACAACTCTACAGTATTTACAATATTCGTATTTCCTCTAAATGTAAGGCCCGGGTTCAATGATAAGGTGCCGAGATTTTGTGAAAGTTAACTTTCTCTAGGTTTGTGGTGTATCTGTATAGCCTACATTGATATGATTCACCGCATTTGTGGACAAAACTTGTCGATATGTATCTATGTATTAGTTCATTGTGTATCTGTAGTAATATTATAAAGCTGAAGAGCATGTTTATTTGTTTCAGCGTGCTAATCTCAGGAACTACTAGTTCCAACTGAAAAAATATTTTTATTCTGAATAGTCTATTTCTTTAAGAAGGTTTACAGCTATATAACATTACGCTAAGACCAATACAAGCGAAGCATCAGTAAAAAATGTGGCAAAACATTATTGATATTTGACGGCTTCCGATGCGTGCGCTGCGCGAACAAAGTCCCGGGCACAGCTAGTATTAAATAACGGGAATATACATTATTGATTTATTTCTTCATGTTATTAGGTATGTTATAGTTTAGATTTAGGTTAATAGTCAATCATTTGATATATTGTCATTGTTTCTGTCATATACTAAAGGTATTTTTTTCTATCGATTACAAAATATGTCTTTTATTTATCTATGCCTGTGTCGTTAATACCAAGTATTTGTACATAAATGGAATATAGTTCCAATATACATTTGATTCATTCTATTCTTGATAAGTTATAAACAAAAGTATGATAAATTACACCACTGGATACTAACGAAATCGATTGTTACAATTTTTGACTCGAAACAAAAATATACATAACAGTCACTTTTTGTAACACTCAAATGTTACTAAAGTTGACTGTTACACATAACGTAATCACCTGTTACAGAGCTCTTGAGAGTTTAACAAAGAATACTCGTACCAGTTCAATAACGGATAGCGTTTCAACCTATACACAAATACTTTGTTCATTACAAAAGAAAACAAAAAACACGATTATGTTTTTAAGAGATTTTTCTTTTCCTTTCATTTATGCTTACAACAACTTAAGTGATAAATATAGCCATTTACTTTCATAGTAAGAATTTTAAATAGGTATATTATTTATGAGCAAAAATGTAAAATTAAATTTAATGGTATACTATATTATTTATATTTAATGGTATACAGCATTGAGGGCCGGATATATATTAGTATTATTTTACAATAAACAAAATATATAATTATGTGAATTAGATGTAGGTACATTATAAATAAAGTACTTCATAGTATATGTAGTTACATATAGTTTAGTTTTTGACCACTGTAGCAGTTCTCTCAGAAAGAATGATTTAACGTTAACATTTGTGTGTTATTTCTTTTCATAGCTTTGTACTATGTGAACCCAATAAATATAAGCTCGGGCAATTCATATAGCGCCATGTAGTATCACGCTAAGCAGAGCTTATGTTATGGATATTAACAACTGATATACATACTTAATACTTTTTTTGTAAAGTATTGAATACATTTTTTTCAGTAATCCTTATAATTATGCACCCTTAGAATTGCAGACAGACTGTACCTTAATAAGCGTGCTTTGTGTAGGTAATACATATCCATCTAGAAAATATTAATTTAGTAGACTATGGTTAAATCAAGCAAATGGCCCAATGGCTTGAAACACCAGGGGTGTCCCGTGATATCATAGCCCTTTAGTAATGCCCTTCTTGAAAAACTCCATGCTGTAGGGTCTAGAGAAAACCTCGTTCATTTTATCATTTCTATATGTAGGTATATCTGTTTAAATAGTAAGTAGGTATCTTTATTTTATTCACTTAAGTAGATCGTGACATCTATAGTCTGTTTTTAATATCGGAGACTAAATTGACGGGTGTAAATATCAGATTTTCAATTAATGCTACTAGCTATAGCGGGGTAGTGCTGAATCTGGGATACCGATTTTTTAATAGCAATTATTGTATTTTAGACGAATTGCTTTAAAACTATATAAGAAACGCAAATAAGCTGGCGTACTTGTCTCCGAGATAAAAAAAAACAGACTATAATATAAGTATTATTAGGTATACTTTACCTGTCCAATGCAAGAATTTCATCGCTCACAAAACAAGATCTGAGTTCTGAGTTTTGATATAAATTGAAGAGTGCTTGTCGCAGGTATCGTTCCCTGGTGTTATTGCTCTTTGGTTCGAGGTCTTTGACTCTCTCGTTCTCTGCCCCAAAGTTCACAATGAATGATCCTCGGAATGTTTGTCGGTTTAATGGGTCTCCGAACAAATATAGATCTGAAACAAATATAACTTCATTACTTTGTAATATAAAGTATAAATCTTATTAAAATAATGAAATATAACAAGTAGATATACATATAATTATGGATAATAAAGATACTTTATTTGCATCAGATAACCGAACGAAATCTATTATTTATATAGCTTACTACATAGTATGCTATATATGTTTATAGTACTCGTAGGTGAAAGCAGTATTTTTAAGGAATGTATGTTATAAGTTAAGTATGCAACTCACGAAAATAGGAGTAATAGTTAAACAAAGAAGGCAAATATGTAATGTTAAATTTTATAACTTAGTAAATAAAACAAAATAAATAAATTATTACGAAAGTAATTTTTAACATAGGTATATAATTAATTCCATGTAATCATTTTTATAGTTTATTAATCATTATACTGTAAGTAAACTGTAGAATGTGAAATAAAGTAGAGGATCAATAATTATTTAGCACATAACTAATTATGTAACTCAAAATTATATGGATTTAATAAGTAAAACGAATTCGATGGAAATATGGGTATTTCATCTCTCTCAATAAAGCTACAGAAAATATCTATGGCATTAAATCTGTAGCTTTCAATGTAATTCCTATAGTTACCTATAGGTACTGGTTGGTAAATATAGGTTTTCATCTTATAACACGATCTCTTTTCCGCCGGTTTCGCATCTATCCTTCATATAAATTACCTATTATAAGTTACCAGTATAACTAGTAGGTAGGCAGATAAATGATATTATTTGTCATAACAGCCAGATCTCTTTACGATATAAGTCCGTGATACACTTGTCGCGGTGGTCGAGCTTAGTCGACCAGCGATATAGCAAGGCCGATGGGCTCGACGGCCTTTGGTGGTGACGGGCAAATATCGTTCGCTCACGCCTCTATAACATACTGTTTACTAACAATGGATACCAACTATAGAAGTTCAAAGTTCTATATCAATTTGTTGTTCTTTGTTGTATGCATTGAAATGCCTATCTTGATCATTTTTTTTATTAGAAACCTAGTTTCACGAATTTGAAAGTAACTTGATTGGAAAATTAGGATACACCTGCGCTTAGTTTTGCTTATATTAAATTCTGTGTAATGATTTTTTTAAAAATGTACAATTCTTACAGATTTTTTTTATTTGATTGCCTCCGTGGTGTTGCTGTTTATAATACTACTTAACTTCGGATGGTCGATTCCTCAAACGCTAAAAATATCTTTATTAATTAGTATGATAGTTTGTATTGGTCCGTGTGGTTTTTTTTTTACGGATGATAATGGAATGGTGCACCCGCCTGCGCTAACGGTTTACGCTGGCGGGGCACCAGTGGACGATGATAAGATGAGCATGAGGTCAGGTCAGTTAGCTCATCGAGACAAATTCATCAAGAATTTATCACGATGGTTTCCAGGGGGAACCGCGTAGAGGTCGACCTGACATGGTACATTGCTAGCAATGAGATCATCAGTCGACATTACTAACAATCACCTTTCCCCCCTGGTCCGTGTGGTTTCTATATCCATTTTCAAAATAATGGATTTAATTATTTCTGTTAGTTGTCTAATACCCATAACACGAGCTCTGCTTAGCTTAGGACTAGATGATGCCATGTAAATTGTTCTCGTTTATTTTTTTTATACTGCGACCATAGCAAACAAACATACAGCCCATTTAATAAAAAAATGTATATACATACATTGTATCTATGCAATCCTCGCTGGGTGTGTTTCTACACTAACATAACATTTAGCTCATGTTGAACATAAAACAGTCAAGTTGGAAAATAATTTACTACAGCTATGTTTAGGTGAAGGTAAACAGAGTGACTTTCGCAAACTATAAGATATACCTAAGGACCTACCTATAAATTCAAGTCCATATAAAACACTATAAACAGATGCTTACTAACTGGAAATTGTAAATTAATTGAGAGTGCATATATTGAATAGTCTATGTTGCGACATGTTATTCATGTTACATTATTCCTCCACGTAATACGACACTGTAGCAATTCCACAGAAATTTGTAAAAACAATAATACTATATATGGTTTTATTTTCTATGTATTAATAACTACCCAATTCTACAAACATAATTTGCAAAATGAGCCGATTATCCAGAACATACTGAAAGAGTTATGGAATCCACTGACACAACTTACCTTCATTCGAAAATACCTTCTTATACCAACTAATTATACGACGGCCTCGGTAGTGTAGGAGTCCTCGCACGCTACAAATATTTGTAATCATGAATATAATTGTTTGCATCGGCCTGGGTATTTTCTATGTATATTATGTATAAATTTATTAAAGAAAAAAATATCTATGTCGGTATTTACATTAGTTGTCCTGTACCCAGAATACTACCTCTGCTTAGCTTGGGACTAGACGGCAATCCTGAGATATTATTATTATATCATGTCGACGTATAATATAATATAATGTATGTAATTCAATATACGGCAGTATATATATTTTGCTGTTTGTGATACAGACATTTAACATATTATTTTCTTCTAGTTTTTATCCACGATATCGTCTGCGTGACCGGCACATATTGATTGAATAATATAATTGCACAAATTTAATTATTATTGCAAAACTTAATAATGGATATAAATGTGTATAATAATAATAAATAAATATAGAATTCATTATTTTAACATAGGGATTACTCAGCGGGAAAATAATATAGACTAGTATTATTTTCTCTCGCAAATCAAAAGCTCCACAGACTCTTAAATCACAGGGAGCGTATTCACGGCGGCATGACGAGCGTGTCATAGCAGTATGGTATATACAGTTTAATTCGCGTTCTGGTGAACATTTAACATGTTATTCTGTAAATTAGCGTATACATACGCTAATTTACTGTAAAGCTGCATCAAAAGCAGTTCAGTGCTTTTTGCGTAAAAGAGTAACAAACATCAATCCATCCATCCATACTCACAAACTTTCGCGTTTATAAAATATCAACTTACGTCCAAGGTAGGTAGCAACTGCAGCCAGGAGAAGTAACACCAACAGCGAGGCGATAGCAGCGCAGCATCCCCGGCATGAACGGCTTAGCTTGCGTCTTGTGAAGCGGATGTCGCTACCCACCGACATCGTTGACTCCGGTGCTCGGTGACGCGCGCATCGTCGTTGTCCACTCCGAGACCACCCATAGCCTAGCTATAAAATAACACTGTTAGTATAATATCGAATATAGAATCGGTTTTTTTTTTAATTGGAGTGGCAAATAAACTGATGGTCTCATGTGTTGGAAAGTGTGTACCGATGCGGAAAAAGGATTGTAGTAATGTGGAATTATTATCGCATTACTAGCAATGTACTCTGTTAGGTTGATCTCCACGCAGTTCTCACTGGAAACCATCATGATAAATTCCTGGAGAATTTGTCACGATGGGCTTACGGACCCGACCTCATGCTCACCTTAGCATCCTCCAAAATCCTGGCAAGACTACCAGCGTAATAATTAAAAAAAATTGATGTGTTTGTTTTTTAAACTAATTATTAAGATTCCTAATTTTAAGTTAAAAATTAAGGTAATTGCTTATATATGTATTGCGAGTACATATCAAAAATAATTAAGGTTTTTTTCCAATTCCAAGTATTTATAAATATTTATCATTAACCGTAAAGAAATACCAAAATAAATATGTGAATAAGTTATCTTATGAAGTACATTATAGAAATACAAGCTGTTGTGTAGAAACTGAACCGACATTACTATAACTGTAATATTATGTTATCTGTACTATAACTATAATTATGAGTGAAGTAAAAATTTTACTGTTTATTAGCATTTGCTATTTTAATAATACATATGTGTCGTATAAAACGTTTGGTTCCACACTGGTGAGTTTATACGGAAAGCATGCTATACAAACAATACATAATAATATACCAGATCTCTAATATTATAACTATGTCTCTTCCGTACATTTGTTGCGCAAACACAAGCATCATTTATGTCTTAGGTACTAACGTAATAACAATTTAAGTAGATATGTTTACGAACAACATCTTTAAAACTTTCATCCATATAAATGTGTTCCTTCCGTTGTTTATTTTAAAATATATAATTTATTTTGTTATGTCACTAGCACAGACATAATATTGTTATGTATAATATCGAGCTGAAGATAAATATGTATCAAAAACTTAAAAAAGGCATCAATCATTGTCGAATCGTTTTTTTAAATTTTATTTAAAAAACGATTGATAATTGTACTTAATGGATGCCATGCCAAATTCTATACAATCAGTACATAGTAAGTATTAAGCTTATTATATCTAGTAGTTATGGTTTTCAATTATTGTAAATAGTTATTTACATTGTATTATTTGTAATATCGTTTAGATGAAAAATATAATATTTAGGTATAGATAGTACCTACCTACTAAGTTGAAAGTTGCAACATTCTCACAACTCTAGCTAAAGTACAGATAAAGTTCATGGTGAGCTTGCAACATTTTAGCATAGAAATCTGGGTAGGAATGAAAATCCACTTACAGAGTATTTATGGAAAGCTTTACTGTATGTAGTAGTAGTAGTATAAGTACAAGTATCGATATGACTAACTGCAGAAACAAAAGATTATTAATTAATCGACTATTTTTGTTACAAAACCCATCGATTTTTTAAATTTTAATAAGAACTGATTGCTAGCAGTTTTTATTAAAAAAATCAATTATTTTCGCAAAATCCTTATTTTTGTCCACTTGACCTGTGAGTGGCTTGATTTATTTCCTTGGTACCTATTTTAGGACACTTGGATGGAACAATCAAATGAAGAAAAGGATTTTTTCAAATATTAAAATCGTTCTAAATTTAAAATAATATTAGTTTTTTTCATAATCTATTTATATTTCATATGCACACGCGACGAATATAACAAACACTCGATCCTTACCAACATTGTTACCAATTCAATCGTGAAATTATAGCACGAGACGCCATATTCCACCATGCTAATGGTACTAGGTTCATAATCTACAACACGTAGATATAACAATCGTGGCACGTCTGACATACAAATGGTATTTGAACAGAAACACGAGTCAAACAAAGAGTATATTTTACAATATTTTCGAGCACGTTCCTTTTCATTGGATTGGCAGTAGATGTACGGACAAGGTTGAATAATGGCATGCCAATTACGAATAGATGCTGTCGATGTCGTAAAGCAGTCCCATCTTTAGTTTATCATCATTAGCACTGTGGTCATGACATGGACATGAAATCGATACAACTTTATCGGGGAATAAATATATGTACCTACTTGGAAATTGTTTCGCTAATTGCGTGACGAGAAAAACGGAGATAAAAAAAAAGAAATATATGGATATTTCAAGTTTCAGTCGGTCAGGTATGATTAATTTTTACAGAGAATTAAATTGAACAAAAAGTATGAAAAAAATAATCAAATATTGTTTTCGATACCAGGTATGTTTCTTTTATGAATTATTATCAACATAGATTTGTTTTACATAATTTTGTTTCAAATAATATCTACTATTTAGTTAGGTACTCTCTTTATGATATTAATCTTAGAGTTTCTTTTGAATGTCTATTTAGAGGCCAACGTGCTTTTACTTCGTTATTATAAGTCAATTACTTTTAATTAATTAATAATAATAATAAACTCTTTATTATGCCAATAGTAGAAGAGACATAATAAGAAAAACAGTAATTACCTACTTTATTATGTAATTTTTTACCTTACATAACGCAATAGTATTCTGGAGATTATAAAACATATCGTATAAAAGAATATATTTCTAATACAATATACAGCAAAACCATGATATTCATATATTACTTCTAGGTAATATTTTCTTGTCCTACCTGTGTCTCTAGTTACTTCTATGTTCTTAGTTATTAATTGGAACAATGGGAATAAACAATAATTAAAAAAATTATACACTTCTGTATATATTTCTAACGATAGGTAATTGGTAACTGATAATAAAAGATATACCTTTATGACAGTTATCTCAGGGGCATTGTTAACTGCAGACGACGAGGTGAATGCAACACTTGACGTGCCCAAAAATCACTGTATATTTATTTGATTTATCGCTGTGTTTTTGCACAATGTTGGTTTATCAATCGGATTTCAATGAACGAAAAGTCAGCCAAAAAGAACATACAAGATTTCTTATTGTCCTCCAAGTCGAATTGATAACTTAGGGGTAGTGAACGGTTGTATAGGATACGACATTCTAACTCGACTGATAATTGAACTGCTTTGCTTATATCACAGATAACATAATATTACATACATATATTAATGTATTATAAAGTATTTAAGTATTTCTATCACTTTTTTCTTACCCATAGTACAAATTCTGCTTAATTTGTGAGTTAACGCATTTCTCTGGGTTATTAATTTTATTATTAGTGTGTTAGTCTTTATATATTATTTTGTAATATAAAATATAAAGCAGAATGGGCACGTGCAGCGTGCACTTGCCGCGACCCAGATATCGTCTCACGTTTTTGCTGCGATCGGAGTGCTGCAACAAAGGCGGCCGATGGCGCTGCCTTTTCGCTGGTTTCTATTAAGATCTCTAAGTCACAATGCGGACGCCCTCACTTTCATTCTGAACGTGCTCATTTACAAATAATAGTTGTTTGCTTCACTTGCTAATTTTATGTAAACATTGCCGCCAGCGAGTCGATTGTGATGATGTTATCTATAACGACTACATTTTTGTAGATTAACCGACCTCAAATTACAAAAGTAACGACTTTGTGACTAGCATAACAATTTCCTGCATGGTAACACACTTTTCTTTATTGAGATTAGACAATTAGCATTATTTAATTGCACCGTTATACATACTTTCCAATAATAACTGCTGTAGTGTTTTGATCACGAAAAGCTTTGTCGTTAGTAACGGTACCGCACAAATCCAGTAATTCGTCGCTCAATCGATCGTTCGATAAATAGATTCGATCTCAGTGGTACATATAGTTTTAGTAATACACAGATAAGAGCATTACTTAATATTATACTTTCTTATGGTCGCAAGTTCGATTCTAGCACAATACTAACATTCATTCATGAGACGTTGTACACGTATAAGAATTTGAAAATAAACATAGCGGAAGCAAATACATATTTCGTTAGTATAGTTATTAGTTTCGGTTATAGTCCTATAGTCCCCAAGCCAGAGCCTAATTTAGTCAATCATTTCCAAACAAATCCAATGTGCCAAAAAGGCAGAGACTTCTAAAATAGTTAAGATAGTTGTATTACGAAGCCTAGTGAAATTCAGCTGTAGTTCCGAGGATGGGTTGAGGAGCATGACTCTCGTTATAATGTTGTTGGACTTGTTATAAGAAACACATATTACATGTCGTTTGTTTCCATGTTAAATTATATAGGTATATCTCTATCTTCGTAGATGAGAACAAAATAAATTGTATCTCTTTTTAAAACAACAAAACACTAAGTTGTGGCAATGTATGCGAGTTAAACGGAGACTTCCACGGAGTCCTCCTTGAAATCATCATGGTTCGTTCCTACTGAATTTGTCACGAATATTATAATCTTCCACTGGTGCCACAGCGAATATTATTAGAGCAAAAAAGGCAACATTCCATTACAATAGACATAGACCATACCATAGGAAAAAGACCATATTTCTTAATATGACGTTTCAATATTTAAAGAAAAATATTATGAAATTCATCTCTAGCAAAATAACTAAAGCATTAATTTAATTTGAACGAACCTAATCTAATCAAAATGGTTAAAATAACCATTTTATTAGATTAGGACAGATACAATCAAATTAAATTTTATACTTCAGGTATTTCGCTACGGGTTCAGCGTTTAGTGATTTATTTAATAAATTAATAAATATTGTTGAAGAGTTTTTTATCCAGATATATTTATATATATACAGTTATTATTTTTACTATTTTGAATCATCGGTTAATAATGATCAAATTTAAAAATATTGTATTATAAAAGATTCAGATTAAATAAGAAATTTTCAAAATATACGATATGGTATGTATTTCAATTCAGTTAGAAAATTTAATACATAACCTACTATTGCGTTTACTTTGTCATCTTTATGTATGTTGACAAATGCATACATGTTTACCAACGTTACAATCTCTCAATCTGTATATGTGGGACATATACAGATTGTATTTTAAATATATTAGAATTTTATACTTATATAAGATATACGTATAAAATACTAGCTGTGGTATTTATATACTCGAGATTTACACTGAAAATAATTTAGTTGTACGTATGATTAGATCTAGGATCTAATCTTACTTATCTTCATACGTATAATAAATGAACAGACGCATAAGAGTCGGACGCATAAGAGTGAGCAACAAGTACGTCAAACATACACCTAGACAAAAATATATGGTGACTGGCATTATTTATAAATAGGTTATTTATATTTAGTACACGGACGATTATAATAAATATTTGTTACAATACTTTTTTACAAATATTTATAAATAATTATGTATGTATAATACTTTAAAGAACTTCTTGAAATGGGAATAGAAGAAGAATCTAATATAATTATTTTATAAAAGGAGAGCTTTTGATTGATGGAGAATATTATACCTATCTATGTAACGAGAGAAATCTACAAGTAGGTATAAAACTATTGTGGACAATTTAAAAAATATATAAACCTTCACTTGTATAAATCATATAGAGTGACAATGTTTAATTAGGTTTAGATGTACCTACGTTGACATTTCAATGTGGAGTTATTAAAAACTCAACGACAAAATAGATACCTACAATTGAAAAGTTCATGGCCTCCTATAAAATTCAACTACTGAGAGCAAGAGGTCATTTACTGCGCACATCTTTCATCATTCATTTATCAATATAAATAAATGTGCTTCGGCCGACTATTGAAATTAAACATTATTATGTGCATAGTTATAGATATCTTCTAGTAAAATCATATAATAGTTGCTGGTTAAAATCACATGGGTCATGTTTTTGTTTGTCAATAACAGTAGAATTAAAACTCCGGTAAGCAACCAGTGTCGACTGACGACCCGGATTACAGATCACTCTACTCCGACTCTATCAGTGTTGCGCGCCCGTTAAATCCACTGACACACTTCCATTCTTGGGTGATTGAAAATAATTTGAAATCCTATTGAGGATTTACGTTCCGTGACCAAAAATAATAAGTTTAACTACCGAAATCAATTGCACACAAAATCCATTTTCCCGTTACCTTTGGAAAGAAAAAGTTTTAGATAATCCATAAAACAGTTACATAGTACTGTTCTGTAGCTCTTGTTAAAAAAATTGGGTCATGCACATAAAAGTATACTTACCCCTTGTAACTTAGATTAAATTACTTTACGTGGGGTTGTATGCCTATGTTCGTTAAAAGATATCATAATTTTTGGAGTTTAGGTATTTCCTATTCATAATTAGATAGCAACAATCACCTATAATATAATCAGATTTTCAGAAAGATTAAATGGGTGCCATCAGCCATCAAGAAACTTACTAACATTCTTTAATCCAAAGCCGTTCTTATGAATGTATTATATGCAGTACCTGTACATGTCAGTTCAACTCGACATTTCCTGTTCAAAAGGTGAAACAGGTTGTACTGCCAGTGTAGATACCAAACTGTATTGATTTAAAGGCAACTAAGCTACCTAACTATAGCACCGTACTCATACTGTCCCTACCTAATGTTGTTAGTGAGAGGCAAACACAAAATTAGCAAGGACATATATACTTATTGCGGTTCTATTTCCTGCTACTCTTAGATTAGGTCTATTAACAATCAATCAAAATCAAAAGAAAATTACCTATTATTTGGATATGAGAAATAGGTATGTAGATCGTTTTACTTGATATTTATTTGAGTCATCGCACATATGACTCTTGTTTATCATCTTTGGTCTTAGAATTGTATCTTCAATCAAGTACACTAAATAGTTTATTAGTTTTAGATAATATAGTTAATTTTACTACCCGTTTGTAACTGCACCTGACTTCCTGTCTATTACATCTATATATCATGTCCACTTCATTCATCTATTAGGGTCTCTTCATTAATTTATGAAGATTTAGTCTGCTACTAGTTTTAATTATTTATTACATATTACTACGGTAAACTTATTTAACATGTTCTATATTTTGAGGCAAATAAAGATGATTATTAGATATTATAGAGATCTGTATTTAAGTAACTTAAGAATGTTAAATATCTACCTGTTAATTAATTAATACAGTAACTGTACACGTTATAAATTAAACCTACGAGTAGGTATATTTGAAATTATACATACAACTATTTCTTAAAAAACTACCTAACCACGAAATCTCTAAGTGGATTACAAAAACCGCGGCTTTGCCTTAATTTACCTGAGACATCGTAATAATGGCAATGTTTGAAATAACTTTCAAATTTCAGAATAGAAAATGTTTATTCAACCACTTTAGACAATAAATGTGTGTGAAGCTTGGGAATTTAGTTACTGCTAAAGTTACTCAAAGTATTTTACTATGGAACTTCAATGAACACATTAATTTCACTATTTCGAGTATATTTTAATATATCAAATTGTACCTACTTATTTCTAAGAATACTAGAGACCCCGTGAGGGAAGGAATTTTTAATAGAAATTGATTCGAAATGATATGGTGTCACGAGTTTTATTGTCGGATTAGGCATGTACTTACATATTATGGAGTCGAAACATTACGATTTGCAAGAATTAAATGGTTCATTAGGTCTAGTGGTTATGTTAAGTTTATAAGGTTGAGAGAAACTTATACCTCTGAAAAATAGCTAATAAATGAATACATTATTAATTTCTCAAATAAGTTGTTACCTATATTGAATACTGATTGTTTCGATACATCCACGCCAATTATGATAAATTCTAAACTCTAATTAATAGAAATTAAATTAGTTCTTGTCTTAACATTTTATAAAAATATATTAATATAGGTAAACTAATAAATGCTACAACAGAATTAACCAACTTACTATAGGTCCCTATGAATTTAATGTACCTAGTATTAAACGAAGAGGAAAATAAAAATTAATAAATTAGAGAAAGCGAAACATAAAAATACAATATACCTACATAAATGTCGCGCAAGATGAGAAAACTCTATTGAGGAAACTTTCAAATCTGATTGCATACAATAATAACAATGCACGATTCAGATCGGTAGGTACGTACTAAATACATCGTTAATTAGAAAGAACGATACAATAACGACAACATATGTATTCCCCTCACCTCTGACTCCCATGTGTCTTTGACGGTCCGAGACTTGCTCTCCTTCATGTTTCCAGAGAACGTCATCACGGCGTGTCCTTTATTTCGGCCGTTGCACTTTTACACTACGACTGGAGATAAAATGCTCATACGCGACAGTAATGCGCTTCACTTTTCACAGATCACAATTTAATTAGGCACTTTTATTTTAGCACTGTCGCTTTCTGTTATCTTTTCGCCGGAACGCTAGGCAGATTGTAAACATTGTGCGCACAACGGTCGTGGATATGAGTCCGTAGAGCGTGCGATCGCGCGGGTCAGAAGTCGGCGCGTACTGACGGCAAGCGCGGAGCGACGTCGTCGGCGCGCAGTAACGGGCACGCACTACAGTTAACTTTCTCTCAACCCAGTCGCACTATAACTTAAAACAACATCGAAAGTCTCCACCATAGACTCACGGGTCAAAGCCTTCATTCATGTTTATTACCATTTTAATTACCAATATGGAAATATTGTTCATTTTGTAATAAAAATAAAAAACGACACACTATTCGGACTGGTGACTATATTTGTGTTATTACCTACTTCCTAATCTTATTTAGTGTCCTGGTCCAGTTCTTTTCTATTGTGATTTGATGACAGATCATCGGTTAAACCCTCACCGATATACAAATATTGTATCTGTTTTATTGACATTGTAATTACAATATTAAATAATCGCTTATAACTGCATTATCTCTACTCCGAGCAGTAAATGATTAAATTAACAATTTAATTTTGCAAACAAACAAAATTGTGTCGTATGTCGTACGTACAGATCCATATAATTTATATAATATTCGTACAGGATGTGTTGCTTTTTTCGGTTATGTTGAAGACCACAAAAATTTATTTTTGATACAAAATATGGCCCACCTGCCACGTGGTTTCTGTAAGTTAATATGCATAACTAAAACTCACCTTTTGTTACACCTGGAAAATCCATCATAGAGTCGCATTCACCATAGGGTACGAATGGGTACTGCCGGACTCCTACCAGTTAATAACCTGATGGTATACCTCTCAGCTTCTGGCTGGCGAGGCTAGGGGAACTATGATTTGTCAATAATCCCGCTCAGATCTAAAACAGACCTGAATGAATTTCGCGTATACGTGATTGGTTTGAAATCTTTTCTTTACCGACCAATAGGATCTTGTATCGGAACTCATCAACAACCAAACCTACATTGCCCAAATTTAGCAATCCGATTCAATCAAAATTCTGATATAGTAGTCGTACTTGTCTGTATATTACAACAATATTTAAACAGATTAGATATAGTAAGTATAAATTCATGTATAAATTAATTAATGCATACTTGGCATGCATGATAGTTGGGTAAAGACTGGAGATAAAACAAAAACAATCGAGTATAAAACTTAATGTATAATCATGGTATTTACAGACTTATTTTATATAAAACAAGTAGTTTTATGGCTATCATTAAATATACTTATTACAACATGTCATTAATAATTTACACAATATTAAAAAAATAAAAGCAACAGTATATAGTTTACTGAAGATAGCAATAATAAACTGTAATAATAGCACAAAGGATACGCACGATATCAATGGAAATTAAAGAGATTCCATAATTTACATCATAATAAAATTATATACAAACGTTATAAAAAAAGAATGTTTATCGATATAATTGTTGTAGAAACATCCTAACAATAGGTATATTGAACATGTTAAATATATTTCCTATATATACTTAAGACGATACGAATTAGAAATGAAGTACATCATTATTAACAAATTAAATATTTTATAAGTAGTAAAAGAAAAAAATATTTACGTATTAACGCATTTGTAAGCATTTGTTCGTATTGTGAACAAGATATAGAATTCATTAATTACACATTTCCAGCCTTTTCCATGACGAATTTATATTTTATATATGTATAATGCTAACTGATAGCACCATTTAGCATTGAAAAATCAACCATAGCATCATCTACTTGAAATACATAACATAAAACACTATAAAATAAAATGTTGTATCACATTCAATTGGTAAAACAAAGTATAAAACTACATATCGTGTGATGTCTGGTAGGAATCCAACAGCGTATATGCGTCATACGCATACTAATCAAAAATGAAATTGATATATAATATTGACAATGGCAATAAGTAAGCTAGCTAAAAGAATTTAGTTGAGCCTTAGATCTTTGGAAATCTGAATGTCTTATAATATTTTTAATATACCGATAAACATCTACATTTTATCTTAATATTTTTAATTTCAAATCTAACAAAATCGTTTAGAAAAATAAGTCGTCATTTTTGGCTTCCACTTTAATATATAATGGAATGGTCTCAAACTAACCATTTTGTAACACCTTGTAGTAAGGTGTTGCGATCCTGCTTTTGCAAAATATACTGTACATCGATATAAAATGAAGTTTTACGCGAATTAAATATTGACATATACATAGTATAAAACTATATGCAAATTTGCGTTACCAAATTGACCTTAGGTTTCGACTACTTATTGTTTATAGTAGTGATATCATGGCCGACTGAAACTGCCACTGCACTTGGCGCCCGACGAGTCACTGGCGTGTCAATACTAAAATGCTGTTATGCACTTCTAACAACATTGTCACAGTAGTAAGTTATCACCAACCAAAGTAAACATGGCGCCAATTGCTGCGTGTACACGTATATACACTAATATATCAGCTTGGTGTCCATTTCGGACACAAAAAGCTATGTAACGTTTGGTTTCCGGAAACTCATAATGGCACCGCTACTGAACGCTGTTATAAAAATTATGTTATACTGATTCCTATCTATGACTTTATACTACGAAGAAATTACCTAATGTAAAAAATGTTCTCAACATCAAACCATCGTACAATTAATTTAAACAAACCGACAGTGGTATTATTGCTCATTATTCTATAGAGTAAATTCAAAATACAGTACATAATCACCTCGATGAGAAATAAATACTCAATGCACACACTAAATGATCACCATTATAATCTCAGAAGGCGTATATTTATTCATTAACACCTACATGTTTATTACAGAGTTATCATCATCGTTAATTTATTAATTTAATTCAATAGTTCGTTCAACTTTGAATAACTTACGCTAGAGCTAAGCTAGAGCGACAAGGTGATTAACAAGTTGTTCCCGCCGAGGTTGCTCATGTCGTACAGGATGGACAATTTATAAACAATTTCGTCTCATTGATACATTGAGCGCACAATCAGTGAACTTTTTTTTTTATATATAACAACAACAGCGATCTATTTGTGAGTTTACAGATCACCGCATCTCTCCCTGTACTCAAGAATCGCTTTACTGGACCATCGTAATACTAGACATACATACCCATCACGAACATGCCTTCCTAAATATCATATTGTATTTTATAAATAACGAATTTTGTTAATAAACTTGGAGCGTATAGATCTAAAAACTTATGATACCAAGACGATAATAGAAACTGCGGTGTTGGTACACTGATAAGACATAGGTGGTATACTAGTACTAACCGATATCGAATGAACTTATTATAGGATAGTATACTAATCGATGTTGAGCAAAAATATTGCTGTATAAGCTATTAATACAATTCAAATAAGATATTTTTTATTTGTACCTAATACTTCTGATAATACTACTATAGTGTCTCCGCGTCAGTATCATTACTTCGTCGTAGCTGACGATTATATTATTAATAGTACATATATTTTATGCATTCCAAAACTTCCAAATTGACTTATCTATTTTCCAATATAACACCTATTTCCTTACCTGAAAAAATAATACATATTATATTTAAAGGGCTTTTTTTGACATTTTGACATATTACCTCGTCGAAAAAATAATGAAAAACTGTGGTAGTACAAATATTATAAAAAAATAGTATTCGTTACTTTCAAGGTTTGTTTGATTATAAATTAGGAAGATAAATAAGAGAAATTTAAGCTCGCTGTACGCTCCAACAGGTCAACTATACTCCAAAATTTAATTAATGTAAAAATTAAATTGTGACAACTTAACACAATGAGTTATGTGTAAATTAATCTGTCAAATCTAGCTTAATGACTACAAAGCTAAAAGCTAGCAATATAAGAAAAATAATCACAAGACTACGAACTTTCTATGTTGGATACGTCTGACATATCAAAATAATTCACTCGTAAATGTCACAGTTCACCGAGCTCGAAGGCTCCTAATCTCCCCACAATACTCAGTATCACTAACCTTTCTCGAAGGTCAATTCAAGAATGTATAGGTACGCTTAAAATACGTCAACTAACATAAAACGATACCATAATAATAATAATAATAAATTGTACTCGGCAATAACTACGATATTAGAATAGGTAATTGAAAAAACAAGATTGCACTCACGGCACGCATTTACAAAACATATGCGTAACATTTAAAACAGCAGTACAACGCAACTTTAGAATATTCAACACTTTACCGATGCGTTCTGATAAGTTATTGCATACAAATCTCCCGGGGGTCGGAAGTAGTCAATGTATAAATAACGTTAAAAATCACAGGTGCAGCCACGTTCAGGTGGTCAAAGGAAGATGTAGATCCGCCGCTGAGACGACGGGTGGCCCTGTCGACTCAAGCGCCACACTGCCGCTCGGCGCGCTGCCGTCCGGCTCTAAGGCACAGCCGTGTCAGCCGTCATGGTCTGTGGAACCTGTGACAAACAACAAATTCGCATCAGTGCCCACTCTAATATCCCCAAGCCATATAAACAGCTACCATACGACATTATACATATATACTAGTCCATTTTCAGGTAGATCACCTGAAAATGGACTAGTATATACATAACTTTTCAACAATAATTAATATTTTATAATTATATCCTATATATGTAACCTATTAAATTATAACCACTGTTATTATTGTGTTTATTTAGTCTATCTGTTTCCTAGTTCCTATAGTGTAAACACTGTTTGTTAGCAGTGTGTGCAGTGGCACTGCATATTGAACTCAAAATTTGCATGAAAACCTAATTTAACGTAGTTGTAATCAAGTGGTGGAAAAAAATATGGATCAAATACAAAAGCCATTACTTCGCAATTTTCATCCATTGTAACTTTCTCTATTGCTTCAAAAATACTACTTATCTTTTTCTTATGTAACATTATTGCTAAAAGTCACGAACGTTATGTATAAAACGATCGTAAATCGCTTTATAACGACCAATAAAATGGAATATGATATATTACTGAATTATTACTTCAATTTTTAAACTATACCAGAGGTTACGTACGTTACTACGTACTGCCGTTTTGACTATTTCAGACGTGAACCAAAATCCATATTCTCTTGTTCGACTCTGAGCAGACAGTTAGTGTAATATATATCAATGTTTTAGTGGCGTGAGGCCTTGTAATTGACCTGTCTATTTATTTTAATGGACGACAATGGAATGGTGTGGTCGCCTGCGCTAATTGTATGCTGGTGGGACACCAGTGGAGGATGATAGAACAAGCAAGAGGTGAAGTCGGTGACAAATTTATGAGGAATTAATCACGATGGATTTTAGAGAGGACCGCGTGAATGCCGACCTGAAATAGTAAATTGCTAGCAATGGAGTCACTGGTTCCCATTACTAACAATGCACTTCCCCCTAATGGATTCAGACTTACTTGACCCTATGCGAGTAAGGTGTACCTGTACACTGTCCCCCATTGTAAACCCTAACAAAATGACCACATTGGGATAAAGGAATTCTTACTTCACGATAGGTAAGAGGTATTTTTGTTACAAACAATCATAATCATGAACACAAATGTTTGTACCGTACGAGGAATTAAACAAACAACTATCAGTAGCATAGCAGTGTGCTAAATCGCTAGACCACTGAGGGCGTCGTAGTTTCTTTACTTCTTCTTCTGTTCTCTTGCTCTAATAATGGTACATACCTTGTGAGGTGCTTGCTTTCCTCGTGAACCGCCATTTCAGAACTCTTAAATTCGTTGAGTTCCCGTCGAATAGCAGCTTTGTCCCGTGGCGTGAGGCGTGTCCAAGGCTTATCAGCGCGCCGGTCGTAATCATGCGCCTGTGACAATATATATTAATGAATATAACTGGTGGATTTAATGTGTCTACAATATCGTTGTGATCTCTTATAATATGTTACTACCGACAAAAACAATAACAGATTTTACAATATATACATTATTAAAACCTACAGAGCATTAAAAAGTAAAAATCATACATACCTGAGTAACTTCAATATAATCGCTGAACCTAATAATTTTCTTTTCCTTCAGTTCATCTACCGTGGGCCGGAAACTAAGTTTACGAAGCAGGTACCGTTTCTTTTCCTCTTTTTGTTTTTTCTCCTCAGCTGGTGACTGACCTACAAAATTTTACACAATTTTATACATACCTACATAATTTATATATACTAACAACCTAAAACTTCGTATGAGTGACCAGAATGGCTTGATTGTTGATTACAGTTCATGACGATTGTATGAGCCTTCAAGACTCGAAGTGTTAACAAAGAAATAAACTCTAATTTTCGCAAAGATAATGTTAGTAAAGATTGACAAACATTTTACAATATTATTTGATACTCTGATGAAAAATAACTTACTCTTGAGTATGTTTCTTTCAACGAGTTCCTCGGCGGTGGGTCGCATTGACAGTCGACGTATCAGACGAGCGCCAATCGCCTCCCACGACTCTTGTCTCTCGTGTTCGCTCTGGACCACCAGAATATTTCTGCGATAAACAATAAACAACGTTTATTGACTGTAATCTCAACAACACTATTATGTAGTTCATTATCTAATTCGCACTGACGTAACTCTCTATATAACACACTGCGTTGGAACTAACAATAAAATCTAATCACTCACTACACTTGCATGAGCTCTCGCACCGACTGGTAATATAAAATTTGTCAAAGCGCACATGATACCTACTGAAAATGTGTTCATAATATCCAATTTACACACACTTGGCTACACCCCAACAGCCTCTAATTAAATAATTAAGGTCACCCATTATTCACATTGCAATTTGTTATAAGTACACAAAATTTATTGACAACGGTTTTAATATTCATCGAATTTTATAAACATAATTGGGCCATTTAAAAAAAGAATCAATGCCAGTGCCAAGACTGGGCTCGCACTAACAGGAAGGAATAATACATCAATAACAATGACTTTGCTTGACGATGTATACAAAAATAACCCTCCCAGGCGAACGTAGCCGGTACACGTTCTATGACAACTACTATTAATTAATACTATACTGTGAGAGCACTAAATAGCACCACGTGTTTTGAGAAAACCCGGTTAGTGTTCTATTAAACTGACCTTAAAGCTTTCATGATTTACGAATATTTATGACAATATTTTTATAGAACTAAATATTCAGAAATATCACTGCACAATTTAATGCTAAAGGTATGCCAAATGATTACAGTAGCCGTGCATCGCCGAAACTGATAAACTAGAAAGATTTTCAATCTTATGATAACTGAGTCATTCCGTTATTAGTGGGAAGATCAGTGTTTCGTCGAAGCTGTCAGTGCGACTCTTTCGGCCGCATCCGTTACTAGCCAACTATCCTAACACACCTACACAATATTCCAACGTTCATTCAAATAAACTTAAATAAATATGCTCATGATGTGTAATGCCGGATGAGGTAAATACAGGCGTCTCGTCGAATGTTGCTTACTATGTGGTCAACGTAATACCTCGTTTATATTTAGCCAATGCTACTACTCCTTGTAGTATTTACTTCTCGAAATAATTTTCAGCAGCGTCAAAGTCAACAACTATTTACACTGCCGCGATACACATTTCGCAATATAGGACGTAATTTAACTACATACAGAGCGTGCTGAAACAGTATCTTATTGAATTAGAATTCTATTTAGCATTACATTTTTCTATCTCATCTTAAGAAAGTTTGCTACAGTTCTATTCTTAGCTCTGTCTAAAGACAGTGCAATCTTTGGACCTTACAAGTGGTTACGTTCTGCTGCTTGTTTTATCTAAAATCTAAAGATAAAAGCTTAGCCTTTAGTAGTACATTTAAAACTTTTATTGTAGTGTTTATTTACACATACATTTATTTATAAAAACGTCAAATGTCTGCATTGCAGATTTAGTTATCTTGATATTAAACTATTTTCTTAATTTAAAGGAGAGTAGTAATGGGGGTATTATTAAAATTTATTTGTAGGATGTTATATATTTTACAAATCATGCAAAATTACTAATGCACACAGCGCCAATGCACTCTGTATTTTAATTTCAGTGGCTGTTAATATTAATATTTTCTTTTTGATCAGAGCAAGCCTCTCTTACTGCATGTACATGTGAGTGTTATGAAAACTGTTAAAATGTGTGAAAGTAACTAATTAACTAAAATATGATATAACAGTTGGTTATAAAACTTAAGTTTAGGATGGAGTACTCAATTGTAAATACACTTTGCTGTTTTTAAAACGGGCTTAAATTTATCGTAACTTGTGTCTGCATTAAATGTAGATTGAATAGAAATTGCACGAATATACATATATGAAGAACATTTAAAAAAAACATCTTTTAAAAATTTAGAAATTACCTCTATCAACGCTGCAGTCTCCTTATATATTTTTGTTATATTTAAGTAGGACATGTATGCGAGTTATTACATTTATGACACTTGTTTTTTTTTTTAAATAACACAATTAAAATTTTGTATAGAGAACAAAATAGTTATAACATCAATACAGTTATAACCAAATTATCCTGAGAATTGCTATTAAATAAAATAAAAACGCATATATAAAACTAAACAACGAAAAGACTCCAACATTTGGAGAAACCAAAATAAATAAGAATACTTTAACTACACAATAAAATAGGAATGAAACACAAGGTCCTTTTTATTACAGTTTTGGCAAAGAAGCTGTGAATTGCCAGTTGAAATGGTAACAGTCGTCTATAGACATCAGAAATTTAATTTGTGACTCCCGTAGTACGGCTTAAGCGTTGTCATTTATGAGGAGTATAGTGTTATAGCTTAGTCTCTCCCTTTAATTACTACCATATCGCTCCTTATGTACAGGATCATAACTTACAAAGCAAACTATTTTACGATAGAAATAAGTGAGACAACCAATGCCAATGCCAACCAATGAAATGCCAATGACTTTGTACCAATCCTTCCTGACTGAATTCGTAAGTAGATAAAATAGACTAGAACTACGACTCATGTAAACTACACGTGTGTATGCGCTAGTCAATGTAACCAGTGGAGTTAGAGACTTATAGAAGAAGCAGTATACCTGTTGATGAGCTCCTGCCGGTCGGGTCGCAACGCCAGCTTGATGTTCAAGCTTTCTTTGCGCGCCAGTTTCGCGGCGACACGCTCTGACTCAGTGGCGTAATCGTCGCGGTACTCCGTGGCTCCCTCCCACGGCCGTGCGTTCTCCTTATTTTCCAAAGCGTTACCCATTCTCACCGGTCGAGTGCTGTACGAGAAGTAACATAAATTAATTGAAATATATTAAGGATTTATTTATTCTAATAGTAATAAATACGACAAATATAATTAATACTCTTTTTTTATAATTATTAGAATATAAAATCATCAGGATTGTTTTACAGAAGCAAGATATATACTTTATACTCATACAGATAATAATGTTGATTGTTTATGGCGTGACTTTCCCCTCTGAGCTCTGTTCAATACTGTGGATATGATTATACTGAAGTCATTTTAAACTTATATATTGCTATTATATTAATAACGATGATTTTATAGTGTATCCTCAACAGAAGAAAGAAATTAGTAATATAACTTAAACAGTCAATATTTGCCTTAAGAATACATTTATTTTTTAATCAAATAATAAATTGTAGTCATAACAAAGATCTAGTTGATACATAACATCTAAATTGAAACTATAATAGTAAACAAAATTAAACGATGACTTATTTAAATAATAATGAAAATAATTGTAATCGTGTAGTACAACTAAATGCTTTAATTAGTATTTATAACCAAGTACAATAAAACAAACTTATACGTATAATTTTACTTGTAACTGAATACAGTCATATCGTAAAATTAAGAATACATTTACATGCAACACAGAACAACATTATATTATAGATTAAAACAATTAATATGCTTGCATGACACATTTCATTCATCATTCAACAACACGAAAGTATGGATTATGAAATTTATTAAGATTAGTAAAGGAAAGTAAGTGTATAAATGTATTCACTACACAGATTTGTAATCAGTGTGGTATGTTACTAATATGTAGCATCTGATAGTCAAGTTTTAGTAAGTGTTTACATCTATAATAACAATGGGGTGGACACAGCGATAGTAACATCAAAAGTAATTGTTCAAGATATAGATGATAGTCGGAAGCGTGCAATGCACGATGCATGGTCTAAAGGCAAAGCGGGCCGTCGGGAGGCCTCTGAGCGAAATGGTGTGGCTCGACAACATTGGCATAACGAGTGGGACAGTTACCATATACGGATCCTCGGTTTTGGCGGCGGACGTCTGCTCGCCACCACATTATGGAAATAAATGTATTCACAATTACGCCCACAATATTACAACGTTCACACACTATGTATGTTAGACGTGTTTATAGCTATGAATGTCACACCAATTTTCTGTATGTATCTAAATAGGTAAGTCAATATTTTAATGAGTGTTATAGTTAGCAAACTTTACATAGTCTGTTTATGAACTGAACGTTACTATGAAAAATCATGAATTGTTTGATAGTTTTAGTTTACTACAACCTATTATCATCCATCTGTTTAAACTAAAATGCAATTTTTATATACATAATATATGATTAGCGGAATGGGTTACTTACTGTTACTAATAATATATTCTGTATTTATCAAAAGCCCCACTAACTTAACAAGTCGTACCCTACAATTGACATTGAAAAGACTATTTCTACTAAATGTTACCTGTGGCTACAGCACAATTTTAGACATATGAAAAATATTCCTCTGTTTTTAGTTATGTATAAAAAATAGCATTAATTTAAAAACAAACGGATGTTTTAATTACACTGTTGGGGTCTTAGACTTTATGCAATTATATTGTATGGATGCAACATCACGGTATACTGACTTGAAGCTCGTGTGGTGATGGTCCTGACGCGGCGCTAGAGGGGTGGCGAGCGGCGTGGCTGCCGGGGAGGCGGAAGGCGCCGGTCGCTTCTTCAGGGCCGATTTGAGAGGCATCGCGTTGAATATTGGCTCCTTAGGTGGGATCTCCTCGACGCGGTTCGTGTCCGCGCTGACTGTGTGAGGTTCGACATCTTCGTCCTCGTGTTCGTCCTCCTCTTCGGCTGGTAACAGATGATAATTTAATATTAAGCAACTGAATAATATTTATGTAATAATAAAGGCCCATATTGCGGTATTTATAAATATTTGCAAGATCCTTATGAATGGAGATGAATTATATTAAAACGTCGTCCTTACTTCCACATTGATATACCTAACAATGGTGCTTTTTATGTGTGTAGAGTTTATTGTAACATACTTGTGCAAGTTAAAAGAATAAATATTATTTATTCTTTTAACATACATATACATTAATGTTATATAGGAAGAAAGAAAATGTACACATTTTCTGTGGTCTCGACACTGACGGCGGCTGTCGGCCACCATATCATCGCTACACCACCTCCTCGGCTTGTAGTCCCCCTTATCAAGGTGGACAACATATTAGTGGGGACTCAGTCCACAAACCAACTAAGTATTATATAAAGATATATGTACGGTACACTGTTTTATATTAACAAACTGTTCCATTCATTACATTTGAAAACATTACAATAATTGAGCATTATATGAAATTAGATCTTAACATACAGTTAGAAAAGGCAATATGAACTTCAGGAGGATCAATCTTTCATTATTCCTTTTCGTATTACGTATGTACGTAAAATGTGTAATATAATTAATATGTAATGTGCTGACCTATAAATCACGGTACTGTAAGTAGTGTGTTCTTTACACACTACATGTTAATTACAGTTTGATACTTTTTATATAGCTGTTACAAATTATATGTATTACTGTATCTCTTCTATATAAACATATCACGATGTACACAAACACAACATGCTGATGAACACGTATAAAAAGCGCTCGTATGACGGTAAAACCGGTAGTAGTAATGAAAATAGTTGCGGCAATACGTACGAAAGATAAACAAGAATCGACCGATAACCCTTCAGGGGATACAATCTAAAATGTAAAGCCAATATAGAATATATAATTTCCAAGAATATGAACCTATACCCCTACGTACATTTGTTAAAATATCCGAGATTATATATAGGCAGAGATATTGTCAATTAATAACAGATTGTTAATTGACAATATCTCTGACTACCGTATCTAAAATGGAACACTGCACAGACTGTCCAAAATCATCTGCACGCTATAGTCATTTCAGCCGCCAAACCGTTTGCTTTGTAAGATGCCTTTCGGTTGAAAAGTGAGATAAAGCGAAAAATTGGGCAGTATATTCTAGTCTCGCAGAATGGCAACGCAAAAGTGCACCACAGGCAAGATGACCATGGTACTGTTACGTAAATAGGTGATGGTTACTGCTTACCATTAGCTGTGATATCAGCTTATTTGCCATTCCATTTATTTTAAAAAAATACTAAACTTATCATCGTGATTACATTTAATAACATAATTAGTGTTCAAGAATACAAAACTGGAACTCATATTTTGATTTAATTTAGTTAAGTAAAAAACATGGGCTTGTTATGCGGAGTAACGAGTCTTATGTCTTAAAGAAAGTATTTAATATGAACTTAGATGGATGGAAAGGGAGAGGACGATTAAAAAAAGATGGATTGTGTGAAACATGATAGGTATAAAAGAAGAATAATCCCAGATATGACGGCTCATAGGGATCAATGGAAGAAGAGGATATACTGCACCGACTCCAAATAATGGAATATAGGCAAGGCAATGAACGAAGTAACAAGTTTGTTTGTTACTTTATTCTTTATTGTACACACACATAGGAAAAGAACAGTGATACAATAATTGTAAAGTACAAGTGCGAGCTTATCTCTAAAAAGAAATTTCTTCCAGAAAACCTAGAACATGTTATAGGATAGCATGTTAATTTGATCACCCAAGCATACTTGTACGATGAAGAACGACTACAATTTTATAAACTGAAGAAACAAGTTTATAATATTGGTATAGATAAATACTTACAGTCAGAAAGAGGATGCTGTGGAATGGTATGTTGATGGTGGTGACGGGTGGGGCTTGGTGAGCTGAACATGGGCGGGGGCGGAATAGGTCCAATTTCCGAGACCGCGATCGGAGGCTCCGGTAGCTCCGACAGCACAAGTTGTTCTTCGCTGTCGCCGCCGTTTTCGCCGCCAGATGGTCCATACCCGCCCACTGTAAATAAATAATTTGATACTAGTGTTTATTTTCTACAGGCAATAATTATATATTTTAATAATACCTGTAACCAGCGACTTCGACCGCTTTTATTAATATAAAAAAATAGTCTCTTTGTGATATAATCTATTTTCATGCAAAAATTCATTAAGATCTTTTCAGTAGTTTAGACAGACACATATAGAAGCATAAATGTTGAATTAATGAATAACTTCATACACGATCACGGGATACGACCATTACTGAAGCCTAATTGCCTACATTACGAAACTAACTTTCTGCGTTATGCACGAAAATACTTTTGAAGTTCTGTTCAGATAAATCGATAATATTACTCACGAAATCTCACTGATCGCCTTTTTAAGTAAAATTAACTAGTTTCTTAAATATATTTCAGGAAAAAATATACAATACTGGGTGTATTGTATTTTTCTCTAATGGAGTGTAGTTTTTTGTAATTGTGAAACCAATGATTACTATTTATTACAAAAGTCTTTTACATATTTATATATATGGGGTATATACCATGACGTATTGTTATGTATGTCATTATTCATATCACACACATCACAATCGGCCTATTTGGAACAATCCCCATTCCTACAACCCTACAATTTTTAGGTCGCCTTTCATATTACATTACATTAAATTAAATTGAACAAGCAGGTCACCGTGAGTTGGATCCTTGGCATCATGAGTGAATCGTTATGCTCCAATACTTTCAAGCAATATCAGACCTATCCTATTATATAGAACTCGTAACAAACAGGGATAACTATAAGTTATTCGCACGATTTCAACATTTCTATTCATGAATACAATTTTGGGTGGTGTGGCCTGGTTTGGGTGTTATATTAGTTGTTATAGTTGTGGTTGAATACATGCTCTGCTTCACTGGAACTAGATAGCGTGATGAGTGCTTGTTCTGGGTTATTATTAATATATTCCCTTTTTCCCTAATTATTCCTCTTCGTTTTAAAGATTTTGTTCTTTTTATCAATTAAAATCGTTATGAACCTATGACGATAAGACCAATTAATGTCTCGAATATTCATTAGATTCGTCATCCACTATTTAATGCATCGTTTCTTGTTTTATAAAAGTATTATTTTTATTTTAGAAAATATATATTATAATTTTTTCGTTCCAATACTTTTTATTAAACTATTTACCAATGTTTATATACTGCATATATACTCCTAATTTTATTGCTGCATGAAGTATCAACGAAAATTATTACGTATATCTTTAAACGAAATAAAATATCTATGCAGTAGCAAAAATTACATACCAACGTCTCCTTGATAACATATCCGCCGTGGTAGTTTGCCTGCCGTCAACGAGTTGGGTCTTTCAGGCCTCATTAACTCTCCACCATTTTCCAATTTATCTTTCTTTGGTTCTGAAAAGAAAGAAAAAATCTTTTCATTTTTACTCAAAGAGAAATCTTTTCAAACAAAAATCGTATCTGTCAAATTATTAAGTAACAAAAACGTGGGTTAAAATATTCTTGCCAAGTATATCTAGTACTATTTGTCATGATTTTTTATAAGGCAACGTAGCATTGTAGTAGTAGTACGATGTTACGTTGGCTTTATTTCATTCAAACATATTTTACAATACATAATTAAAAAAAAATTACTAATATCTTTCTTAACAAACTGGATTCTTTTTTAGATAAAAGATAATCTATGTTCGTCCTCATGATACAATCTATCTTCACATTTTTCATTAAATCTTGCTATGCAGTATAGTCGTGAAATAACAACTACTACCTAAGTATGAACATATGGATATATAATTGAATATCAATGTTTATGCAATCAAATTAAATTTAAGTTCTACAATAGTTTAATGCGCATTATTGACACAACGGTATTGTGTGCAAGCTGTATATTGTAGTATAAAATATATGGTGTAGTGTGGGATGCGTTCGAACTGCTCCATGGATGGGCGGCCAAGGTCGTTGTAGGAGTGAATGGATACGCGTGCCACGCGCTCGTGACTGCTCTATGATCTATTATTAGCATCCTCGTTTACTACAACTATTTTATATCTGGATAGTTTTAACTTCGTATCTCCGCTGCAATAAAGCAGGGAGCAGACTATTCAAATTCAACCGAGCCCAATACTGTGATCCCGCGCGCGTATTCAGTCAGTTTTAACTTATAACATTAGCAAAGTCAAATTATAGTATTTATCATTAGTTAGAAACTTAGGTACTTTCTTGCATTTTATTTTGTTCTTCGAGTATTTCATATAATAATACAATCACAATGACAATCTACCTAATAATATTTATCCATTGACAAGTCCAACGAGGTTAGGTTAAGCATAGGGTCTAGTTATTTTTCATACAGAAGTAAACATAGATAGCAGTCGATAGTGTCAAACGATGAGATCCTAAGCCTTAATACAAAATTGCATATTTTGAAGGATGCGAATTTGTAATTTGGCTGTAATAGGGCTTAGATAAATAAAACAATAAAGAAGTCGCTAATATGATATCTAGCATTATTGCGTTTTAAAAATGTCCTGCAATCTATTTAGCAACATTCATAAGCGAGCACCTGCCAGCGTCACCGTCTATACATTTCATGACCCACTAAGGTCTTGTTGCTCAACTAGAATTGCGACATACCAATTTCAGGGTTACATTTGAAGATTTATACACTTACATACTAAAGCTGTGCTTTTTGAAATTCGGCCAAATCTAAAATGAATGAAAACAGAAATGAATTTTAAACTCGTCAACGACAAATTAAGAATCAACATATCGCTGATTAAATGTCAAAGGGCCAATACGCAAAAAAAACTGACTTAAACTGTTTTTATTTCCAAAAATGGTATCTAAATCGTTATAATTTTTATATTAAAAAAAGACACCCTTGAATCTAGAGCTAACACATAGATATACCACTTATAGATTCGTAAAAAAAGTAAAATTATCACAGCAAAAATTTTAATGAGCTCTCCTGTTAAATTTACCTTTTGCGTCATGTGGCATTTAATCAGCCATATGTAAGTACCAATACTAAGAACGAAACAACTCCTCAACTATCTCAGTGCTAAATTACATTACATTATATAATACACCTGCAAAATATATCACAGTACATAGAGAACTAAGTTGCCTTTTATACTCTGTGTCTGCCTTATCTCACCGTTCAAGCGATGCACAACTTATAAAGTAAGCGGCCCAAATAGGGGAGACCTAAGGTAAATCTTTATTACGCTGACGAATCTTTAGAAAGTCTACCTCGGTAATATGTGAAAACTTAGTTAAATTAAATTTATACAATAAAAGAAAATACTATGATTGGATGAATGATTGAATGGTTAAGATGTTAAAATATTTTTATTGTAAAATCATTGATATGACAAACACACAATTCACCAATGTAATGTTTATCTATTAGTATCAAAGTAATCTAGCGGGCGTTTAATAAATTGGCACTCTAATAACACAAAACAATCCCCGTATGTTATTCTGGCATTGTTCTTAAAGTCATCCTAATACTTGGTTTTATGTTCCAGTTATTGTATCCAAAAAGTTATTTGTTCTTTTAGTTTTAACTTCACCTCAAGAAATGTTTATTCAACAGGCGGACTAGAGCGCGGGGTGCGCGAGCGCGCTCTGCCCGCGGGTCGGGGTGGTCGGGTGGTAATGGATCGATGCAGCCGCCCTTGGCCGCCGCGAGGACGTCGTTCGGCCTCGCTGCAGCGTTACGTAACATACAGCCTTCAGACACGTGGGAGAGGAAACCAATCGCTAGCCAGTGCCCTGATACTATTTGTAATCGATAAAATATCCCGTAATAATTGTTAATACTTACGTAAAAATTGGTAAGCTAAATTTAAGTTATTTTAAATGTTGTTCTTTCAACATTAATTATATCATAATAATTATGTTGGTGCTTTTTAATGTCACAACAATGGTTATAACCCTCCAAAACGTCAGTTTTTATCCTATCTCAAATATGTATATAGGTTATAAATAAGAAGAAATTTTGTGATCGACTTAATTAACACTATTTTAATTAAATATGCTTTTTTAATGGAGGACAATAAAAATACTTTAAAGTTAAAATTTAAATAAGAAGTTAACATATGGAGATCTCAAGCGGATAAACCTATTTTTGTTAAATATTCCTTAACAATAAAATATATAAAAAGTGATAATACATTGTAAACAAATGGAATACACAAGGAAGATTCCAATGTATAGATAAACTATAGATAGGTATAGGGCGTAGTTTAACAGTAATTACTTTTTAGACGTCAATCATCGCGTGTGATGTTGGTAGAAGGCCGTGGCGATCGAGAGGTGGTGACGTAACGGTCGAGTTATGCCAATAGAGAGAAGGATACCACCAGTAATAGCATCACGCAATGTCAAGAGTACGAGATGGACGCGCCGAGCGTTGGATTCCTCGTCATGTCGCGTAAAACGACGCGGCTGATGGCGACGAAGCGCGACGCCGACGCGGGTCGACTGGGTATCAGGGTTGCCAACTTTAAAACAGCCTGGTACGAAGAAGTAAAAACTCTGACAAAAACTCGTAAATTAGCTTAATTCCTCTATAACCTCGTACATCGTAGTATTTTGAACAATACTTGGAGGTCAGAATCTCGTACAAATTTGTATGGGCTTGAAAATACCCATGTACAAAGGCCGAATCGAGTATTTGTTCGAGGATCCTCAAACGGTTGGCATCCCTGCTGTGTACCCAAATCCACTAACCACGAGCTCGTTATAAATAAATTTTGTGGTTTGAAAAAAGAAAACATTTCGGTCGGTACGTTAGGTATTTGGCCTGTTTACACATTTTCAACAAATACTTTACAAGTAGGCAGTTTGTTACGGGCATTTCACTGTCGACATTTTAAAAAAGTAAGGTCAAAAATTTGTTCATTTATTTTTGACATAAATTTTAAACATTGTAATCGGATCCGAATATATAATATATACATTTTAGAACTTACTATTATTAGAGGATTTACTAATCAAATTTTTATATTAAAAATCAAAATACTAGATGCGTTACGCGACAGGTAATTTAAATTTTTTTGGATATAGTTTTTTAGCGTGTATGTTCATTGATATTTACCTTAATAAACACGAAGAAAAATAGTGAAAATCTTGCCTCTCGGAAAGGCCTTCGTCTGACATCGAGTATGTAACACTACAATTCGCGTTAATATTATAAATATAGTGATGACATTTTCTGACTTGGTGTTTATGATTTTGTAACCACCATTTGAAATATTCCTTTGATGGTCGTGTTGCTTGATTCTAGATGTATGTCAGCTATAGGTATTTATGTACTTACCTATTCAACCCTGGACAAAATCGGCACGACACTTAACATAGTTATAAATCCCATTCCTAAAAATATTTAATTTAGTAACAAATTTATTATTGTTATATTAGGAATTATTATAAGGATTGAAGCGGAGATTAGTAGTATACCTGATTTTGTATAGTTTATATTTTTTATAAAATAATGTTATGAAAAGAGGTGATTGATTACACACACACAGCTGAAACAATTATGTTCAGAAACATTAAATACTGTGCTATCCTTACATAAGCCAGTGGCATTAAGAAGCCGTTAAGGCAATAAGGGGCCTTAAGAGATGCATTTGATGCCGAGAGACCAGGGTTTGTAAAAGATAAACTCTATCACTAGTAAATATATTTGAATCGCGGTCACAAATACTGACATGTAAGAGAATACCAAAATACAAAGATCATAAAATTAATGAAACAATTTACAAATTAGGCCAGAGTGTAAATAAATTAAGTATAAATTTATTTGCTAAACGCGGCGAGAAACGACAGTGATGAGAGGCATGTGGGTGGACCTAAGATGAGTATGATTTCTATCAAGAGAATAAATTTATGTATCAGAATGGCTCTGTATAATAGTAATTATTAAATAAGAACATAGACATAGGAAAACTGTATTTAAATGTTGTTTAAATATAGCATTAATTCACTAAATAATAACGTTTATTAAACCTATTACAATAAAAACAATATGAGATATTTCAGTACGATTGATATGTGTCCTCGAACACTAGTAGGTAAAATATATTCTATAATTACTCACTTAATAGCTACCAACCGTCATACTATATGTATGTATAAATACAAGAAAATAATAACTGTTAATATATTAAAAAAATATTAGCTGATTTCAATGTCAACAAAAGATGTATTTCAAAACATGGATTTTTACTTATGATTTTTGATTAGTTCGCAAAAATGTATAGACATAGTATACATTTTTGCGAACTAATCTCAGTAATAGCTTATCAATTTACAGTTGCGGTTTTTACAAACATATGTGGTAAGTCATTTAATATAAAATTTTGTTTTATTCTAAGTACGAAATA